TTTTCCCCTCACTATACTTACGGACAACTGTTCGCAAATAGCAGACGGTAAGTAGTGTGGCATCTTGTAATTTGGTGTGTGTATGCGGTAGTGTCGTGATTAGCGCGCTACGCGACGAGCCCGGCGACCCGAGTTTGATCACTGCTTATGGCCACCACCGGTAATGATTATCTGAGTCGGTTCTGGGCGTCCGCTAGGTCGACTCAGCCTAAAATGAGTACCTGGTGTGTTGTACTCATCGCCACGAGGGAGAGGTGGTCGGGCATGGTACTGGCCACCCACCCCTTTCGTGTGCCGTGCCGGCCTTCATAGGTGCTCGCTAACAGCACTTGCCCCAACATTTTGTTAAGGCTACACGGGGGATCTTTGTCTTGTGCGGCATGGTATCGGGCCCCACCCCCCCCACCCCTCATGCGTTTACCGCACACGGCTCCCGGATGGTGCGGTTCCCTCAGTAAGGTGCGAAAGAAGTTCAACTGACATGCAGTGGTCTTCTTTGGTGGTGGCCTTTTAGTACGGCCCCTTGATGTGCGGCCGCCCAGACAGGACACAGAGTGACAACACCCCCCATCGTCATCATCGTCGCGCTGCTGTCAAACCCCCAATGGTTTAAAATGTGTGGCGGCCCTCACACTGATGATGTCTTGTCTGATGCGATGTCTTATCGTGACGATGCCTTATCGTGATCATCTCTCATCTGTGGTCAACCCCCACTCCGAAACGTCGCGAAGAACGCCGACATCCACCGTTGCCGAGGTGAAAGTGCACATTTACTGAGCGGAGAGCTCGCGCGGACGTTCGCGGTTCACCGCTGAATCTTCGCAACGTCAACCCCGGCGGACACGAGCGGCTCGTGCTAAACGGGACCGAGTGTAAAGTCGTCAAGACTCTCCACCGCCCTTTTCACGCACACAACAACGCATCACGAGCCCCTCTCCTTCCCGGTGGTCAAGCCCCGCGGAGTTATTGCACTCGGCACGTGTGCGGTAGCGGTACGAAGCCGAGTTCGATTCCCGCTCATGGCCAACGCCGGTGACGATTAATCCGGACCGGTCCCGGGCCTCCGACTGGGTCGACTTCTCGACCCTCAGATGAGTAGCTGGAGGTGAAGGCCGTCGGGCGTGGTGCTGGCCCGCCCACCCCCTCGTGTTCCGTGCCGGCCTTCATAGGTGCTCGCCAACGGGTAAGGTCCGCTGAGCTGTGTGGCTTCTTTTTCAGAAGCGACGTGGCCACACACGATAGCTCGACGAAGCGGCTTATCGCATGGAAATTGACAGCAGCCAAATACTCCCAAACGCGTGATTCTAAACGCGGAGGGAAAAACCGGAGGACCCGGAGAAAAATCCACGCGACCACGGGGAAAGAACACGCAGAGTCCAAATATACAGGCGTCTGGGTCGGGATCGAACCCACGACCTACTGCGCCACCAGGCGAGGGAGTTAACATCTCCTAGCCACCGCGGCGCCCCCGATTAGAAAGCTTCGGGAGGGCAACCACTGTGGACATGGAGCAATCCGATGAGTTTGTGTGCAGAAGTGAAGATGGACTGAGGAATTGCAGAGACCAGAGGAGATGGCGATGGCATTAGGGGGTCTTCATCGGGCAGCGGAGAGGCAGACCGTGCCTGAACATTGCGATGAGACCAGAGTAGTAGACTACAGGGATGGTCCAGATGACTTGTGACACCTACCCCCCCCCCCCCTCCCATTTAATTCTATAAAACTTACAATTTTAAATAAGGTGCAGTAAAACGGAAATTTGTATACGAAGGAATTTTTGTTGTTTAGGGGTTAATTAATAGGTCGGGGAGGGGGGGGGTCACGTCACAAGACATCTGGACCGCCCCGTCCATTAAGAAACACGAAAAAGCGACGCCTGTGATAATCTCGCTCGAAGAATCCACGGCACGCAAAAGCCTTCACAGCGCGTTGTCGTTGAGACGTCGATTTCCGGGGGGGCCTGCGCTAATTATTCCGTCGCGTGACGGGGGGGGGGGGGGGGGGGGGGGGGAGCCCTCTCTCTCTCGTCATTCGCACGTTGACACTCTCCGGGAGACCACTGCCCGCCTCCAGTTCCCCCCTCGCTCTCTACGAATCCCGACGTCTTTTTACTTACACGCTTTCAATTAACTCACTGTCTGTTGTTGTTGTCGTATCCTCAAATCTTGTAACTCAATGTTAACCCACTTCCCAATGTGGTATCGACTGCAAACTTGGTATACTTATGTCATACTGATGACAATACTATATTCTATCATTAAAAAAACAAATTTTTAAACGATCTTTTTTATATGTTATGTTTCGGCTTGGGTCGAATTGTCCACGGTCAACTGACGTTGGCTGTAATTCACCACGGTCCCCTTACGTTGTGGCAAGCTTCGAGGCCACTTCCTGGAGTCGTGGAGAACTTCCATTCCTAGTACAATTCATAAAAGCGTGTTTAAATTTTTTTTTTAAATATTACTTATTTTTTCTCAAAGACGTCGGCGATCATGGACTTCCTTCCGCGTAGCTCTGCCCATGATATTTTACCTCGAAGAATTTTGCATCGGATACTCTGCCCAGGCCATTCCGATTGTCCGAATTGCTTTCGTAACGTATTTTGTTGTCTTTCCCGGCTTTTAGCTTATTTTGATGATTTTGCTGCTGTACATTTCCACGTGATGATAAGGGGCCGTCCATAAATGACGTCACGCGATTTTGGACGATATTTGAGCCCCCCCCCCGCCTCGTCACACGGCGTCACAAAAAGTCAGACCCCCCCCCTCAAATATGACGTCACAAAGCTCTGCCCCCCCCCCCTCCTCCCAAAATAAAACATGCTTCAAATCGCTTTTTTAATGTGCCGCTGCACTCTGATGTTGTAGGAGAAAGCATTCATTAAAAAGTCTATTTAATTTAGAACGTTTTGTCTATATTTATTTAAAGTCTCAAACCCCCCCCCCCCCCCTCGTCACACATCGTCACAAAAGTTAACAGCTCAGTGGGGGCCTTACCTGGGTGAGAAAAAAAAAATATTCAGTTTTATTTGGTTATTTTTTAAAAGTAATTTATTTACCTTTCCGATACTTTGCACCCCGATCGTGTTTTTGTTTTGTTCGTTGTTGTAACGTTCTGAACCCGTACCCCGATTGGACATCTGTAAAGAAAAAAAAGAGCTTTACAGCTCATCGGATTCCCCCAGTATAAATACATATTCTGATTCTCGTACCGATAATTTTGCCAACCAAAACATTCATAATAATCAGTCTCTCGTCTTCTCATTTAACACGTGCAAGGTATCCAACGCGGGAGTCTCTATATACAACACAACAACAGCCACCACGCGTTCACCCACGACACCAAATGTCGGCAACATTACCACACTGGCTTGTGCCATGCCAGGTGCACGTTCAGGTAACGCGATGTGGGTTAACAGACGCGTACGACTGCCAGATTCACCCACCCGCACTCAACCGTGGCGACGTGATATGGGCGGGCGGCTGAAACCGGTTCTCATTGTTGTTGCAAAATGTGAACGCAATATACAGAATATGGGGTTACACAAAAAGACAAAAGATTCCCCCGTGTAGCCTTTAACGGACTGTTGAGGCAAGTGCCGTTAGCGAGGAGCACCTGTGAAGGCCGGCACGGCACACTAGCGGGTGGGTGGCCAACACCACGCCTGACCACCTTTGTCTCCCTCGTGGCGATGTTTACACACCGCACCAGGTACTAATTTGAGGCTGAGTCGACCTAGGGGAGGCCAATGACCGGTTCAGATAATCGTCACCGGAGTTGGCCATGTGCGGGAATCGAACTCGGGTTGCCAGCCTCGTAGCACAGCGTAGCGCTAACCGCTACACTACCGCTCCCCACAAGTTAAACACAGACACGCACACACACAGACATACACACACACACGCGCGTGTGCAAAAATCCCCCGTATAGCCTTTAAAACAATTGGGGGAAAAGTGCTGTTAGCGAGCATCTATTAAGGGGTCAGCTAACCCCCGCAACAGGGGGTTGTGTGACCAGCAACCACTCCCAACCACGTCTGTCTACCCCAGTAACCAATGTTCACATACCACAAGTGCTCAAGGCCGAACGGACCTCGGAGAGGGGTCCAGGCCCGTTTCGGATATCGCTTGCTCCTGTTAGCCGTGCCTGGTCGTCGTTTGTGTAGCACAGCGAGTTAATAGCGATGCCACCGCATCCCGTTAACACAAACACGCGTACAGGGTAGTCCCCGACTTACGATACAGGGTAGTCCCCGACTTACGATACAGGTAGTCCCCGACTTACGATGGAGATGCGTTCCGACGACCCCCATCGTAAGTCGAAAATATCGTAAGTCGAAGATGGCCTTAGCCTACCCAGGAGTCTTAAAGAATGGTGATAATTAGGCAAAACAGAGCAATTTACAGTACCGTACTGTATAAACTATATACTGTATGTATTTATTAATTACAATACTGTATTGCACGTAAAAAACAAGGTAAATTCTTAGCCTAACGATATGAACTGCAATTTCATAGAAAGCTTTTTCAGGAAACAATCCTATCTGCTACAAAAACTTTTAACATGCATTGAACGTATGTATCGTATCGTGGTAACCCTAAAAAGAAATCGCTAAAGCTATGTATCATACATGTATTGAACGTATAGTAACGTATCATATTCTATTGTACTCGCCAAGATTCTGTCCATCGTCTGCATACTTGAACGATGTTAGGTTGTTGATGGCTACATTAACTTAGTTGTCGGAAGAGGAGGATGGCGGTGATAAAGTTACAGTATCGTACCTCTTACGCTGCTGCGTTTGCCTGCCGCGCGAAATTAAAAATATTTAACAATTTTGTCATATCGCTATCGCCACCGTAAGATCGATATATTGTAAGTCAGACCATCGTAAGTCGGGGACTACCTGTATATACCGTGTATATATATAAAACACACATTTGACTGCAGGTATTGTGGTTAATGCAGACATGAATCCTTGTAAAAAGGTTTCCTTTTTGTTGCCAGAAAAAAGGGGAAAAACCCTATTATTACATTTTGGTACTGGCAAAGGAGGTCTAATGATAACACACATTCTCATCAATTGTCAATGGCGAGTGATATCACCAACCCGCACTGACTAGCATGGCTCACATACTCAAACAGACCCCATGTCCAACACAGCATGCGCAGCCCGTCATAAAGCAGCGGACGGATAAATGGGGTGTAAATTATTAACATTACATACGCTTATTATATAGATTGCATCCCAATTGTGCAACTGGCACAGCAGCACACGAGGCTAGTGGCCGGCCTACACCCGAGCCAACCCTTCCAGGCAGCAGAGCTTGTGTGTGTGTGTACGTTGAACTTCTTTTGCGCCGTACGTGGCCAACCGTGCTAATCGGAGGTGCGGGGGAAGGACAGCAAACTAAATACACAAAAGAGATTGATAACAGTCGCGGCAACGGCAGTCTCCTCCTTCGCTTGGTCACTCTCGCCAAACCCTTGAGGGCTCTTCTCTACGCTCACGAGCTCTTCCCTTCCGTTCCGAACTCCCAGACACCGGGACAACAGCAGCGCGATGAGCCAATTCCGTCTGCGAGCCACCAAATGTTAGTCTGCGTTGGGGGCTAAGCGCGTGGGTTAGCCGCGGTTGGCTGCGTACGGCGCGAAAGAAGCTCAACGTACATACGCGGGAGACTGCCATGGCAAACCTCGTGAGGTCGCCGCGAGTCTACGTCAGCGAGGTAGGTGCCGTGGTACCGCTCGTGTCTCGCAGCAAGAAGGGGCCTGGGCTCGATTCCCGACTCGGGCGCCTTTCCGTGTGGAGTTTGCACGTTTCTCGCTCTCCTCCAGTTCTACATGGGTTCTCCGCCGGGTTCTCCGTTTTCCTCCCATAGCTACAAAAAATAAAAACACACCACGTCATTGGTGTTGGTCAAACGTCTCAATGCTGAAATATGACAGCACTTGAAAATTACTCAACTGGGATCACCACACACAGCACCAGCATCGCCCCCCACCCCCCACCACCACCACCTCCTGGAAAATATTTGGCAAAACCCTCCTGAAAAAGAGTCTTGAGACTCAGCGAGGCTGTCCTGGGAATAAACAACTCAAGTCCTGTAGTCAGGAGCTGCGGGCTTTTGAGGCGAATCGGCAGATGCGTTGAGGATTGGGTCGTCTTTTACACGCAAGACGCTACCGAAATATAAACGGCTCGTCTTGTAGACGCAGCGTACCTAGGGGCCTGTGTCCCGGGCTGTCCGACACGAGTGAATGGGAATACTTTCACGTGACAATCGAGTGCACCGTCACATGCACAGCAGAAACATCGCGATACGACTCTTCGCTCTCCTCAAACCCCTGACCAAGGAGAAGCGCAGTGGGGCTCTTCGGAGCGCGTCCCAAGATCCGTCGATCGTCCCCACAACCGGGACTGGCCCTGGCCGAGCGGCGTTTCTTCGTGACCACTCGCGGAGCGTTCGTCTGGTGTACAGGAAGTCGTGGGTTCGATCCCGACCCTGACGCCTGCTGCTGTATATTTGGGAGTTTGCGTGTCTCTCTCTCTCATCATCATCATCATCACGGTGGCTAGGAGATGTTAACTACCTCGTCTGGTGTCCAGGAGGTCGTGGGTTCGATCCCGACCCTGACGCCTGCTGCTGTATATTTGGGAGTTTGCGTGTCTCTCTCTCTCTCATCATCATCACGGTGGCTAGGAGATGTTAACTACCTCGCCTGGTGTACAGGAGGTCGTGGGTTCGATCCTGACCCTGACGCCTGCTGCATATTTGGAGTTTGCGTGTCTCTCTCTCTCTCATCATCATCACGGTGGCTAGGAGATGTTAACTACCTCGCCTGGTGTACAGGAGGTCGTGGGTTCGATCCCGACCCTGACGCCTGCTGCTGTATATTTGTAGTTTGCGTGTCTTCTCCCCGTGGACGTGTGGATTTCTTCTCTGGATTATCCGGTTTTCCCCTCCACATTAAGAATAATTTGCCTGCTGCTATACGTTTTCACATAAGCCACTTCGTTGCGCTATCATTTCTGGCCAGGCCGCTTCTAAAATGAGAGCTTTATAGCTCAGTGGGCCTTACCTGGTAAAATAAATAAGTTTAGTTTATAGTTTATCAGGAGTCAGCTGAAGGCGCCGCACCTGTTCAGTGGCGTTTCTACGTATTTATTTCTAGTGATTTGCTTTACTCTCCTATACCTTGTAAATTGTTGTAAAACTCTGACCCTCCCCCTATCGGAACATTGCTGAAAAAGGAGCTTCGTAGCCCATCGGATTCCCCCAGGACAAAATAAAACATCCCGATTCGAGGAAACGCGGCGCCTGTGTTCCCGCGTCTCCCGAGTCCACGACCACGCGATGGGCTCGTCCGACCAGCGACGGCGCTCGGGTGCTGGAACGGTCTCACGACGCCGCTTGACGAGACTCGACGGAAATTTCTCCTCCCCCCCCCCTCCCCACCCGTCAGCGGCGGGCAGTGGGCAGCGGTTTCCGTCGTCGCGCACGGCGCTTCTGTGCTTCCGGCGCCGATGCTTTCGCCAGCCTGAACGGGTTGGTGTGGTGCGGTGTAGCTGTGGTGGGGGGGGGGGGGCGGGGCGGGACGTCCTCGGGTAGCGGTCGATTGACGCTAGCGGCCACACGTGCACGCCCGTGGACGGCGCCTTGAAACCCCGCGGGCGGCGCGTCCACCAGGGGTCGCGTTGCCGTCTGGCCCTTTCCGTCTCCAAACGCGACATCAGTCGGGGTCGAAGGGCAGGTACGGGAGTCGCACCTGCGGCTGCCTCCCCTTCCTCCTCGTGCTGCTGCCGTTGGCGGCGAGCGACGCGGGCTCCAACCGCTCCGTGAACATCCTGTAAGCCGGGGGAGCGTTGCCCTGCGCCTGAAAGCCAGCCGCAATCATCGCCATCGCTACCTCCTCCTCCTCATCATCATCATTCCCTTCCTCCTCCAACTCCTGTTCCTCCTCGCCTCCCCCGAGCCTTTCCGCCCACGCTCCTGTGGGGAACGCCTCAGACCCGACGCCGTCGGTACCGTCCTCGGCCCAGACTCCGACCGGACCGTGCCGAGGAGTGGGGGGTCCCGACTCCGTGGGGAAACCCGGCTGTGCCGAGCCCCCCACGACCGATCCTCCCGGCCACGTCGCCACGGCCGCCGCTGGCGCCGCGACGACGTCCGCGGGACGTCTGCTGGCGTGCGTGCGCGCGTGCTGGGGGAGCAACGGCAGCAATGGCGCCGACACCGTCATCGTCGTCGTCGTCGTCATCAACATCGTCAACATCTCTATCGGTAGCAGCAGAATCGTCGTCGTCATTGTCCTCAACATCGTCATCAACAGCAGCTGCAATACCATCGACGTCAACAAGAAGAGCATTGTTGCTACCATGACGATCACCAACAGAAGCATTATTGATGAGTATAATTGCCATCAGCATCATCACCAAATTGTCCAAGTACATTGCCGTACTTATACCATTTGAACTTAAATACTTTACCTATTTATTTTTTGTTATTTGCTTTCCTTTCCTACACTTTGCACTCCTGTCATTTAAAAAAAAAATATTATTCGTTCTTGTAACTTTGTGACCCCATGCCCCAACTGGACATCTCATCGGATTTCTCCACACTAAAGATTCTTCTGACGGATTCCGATTGCTACCACCATCGTCACCCTCCCAACCCCTCCATCCCGCGCACGCCGCACCTGCAACAGGTGCTTGCGCTGCTTGAACCGCTTCCCGCAGGCGGCGCACACGTGCGGCTTGTCGTCGGCGTGCGTGCGCCGGTGCGCCGCCAGGTTGCCCGACTGCGCGAAGCGCTTGCCGCAGTCGGCGCAGCCGAAGGGCCGCTCGCCGGTGTGCGTGCGCCGGTGGTTCAGCAGGTTGGTCTGCTGCGAGAACTCCTTGCCGCACTCGACGCACACGTACGGCCGCTCGCCCGTGTGCGACAGCCGGTGCGCCGCCAGGTTGCTCGACTGCGTGAAGGCCTTGCCGCACTCGGCGCACGGGTAGCGCCGCTCGCCCGAGTGCACCTTGCGGTGGTGCGACAGGTTGGACGAGCGCAGGAAGCGGCGGCCGCACACCTGGCCGGGTAGGGTTACGGCAGACGGCGGAGGGGCAGAGTTGGTGGGTGGGGGGAGGACGCCGTGCACGGACGAGGGAGGGAAAGGAGAGGGTAATGTGGAGGCGAGGAGGTAAGAGGGGGAGGGGAAGCTTGCATCGTTTTGTCTAACCTACCTGCTTGCTTTCTCGCTTGCTCACCTCATCCACCGACTCTCTCTCACCAGCCTGCCCACCCACATATCCACCAACTCACCCACTTTTCTATTCACTCACTCACTCACCTATGCACCCAGCCACCAACCAACCTGACCCAGAAACCTGCCCATATATACTAACCCTCCCCACCTATTTATCCACTTGCTCACCCATTCACCTATCTGTCCACTCAGTGACACGCTCAACTACGTATCCACTCAGCGACTCGCTCGCCCATCCACCCATCCACGCGCGCGACCGACCCGCGCGCTCACCTCGCAGGCGAACGGCCTCTCGCACGTGTGCGTCGTCTGGTGCGCCAGGAGGCCGTCGCGCGTCGCGAACCTCCGCTCGCACTCGCGGCACGGGTAGAGCTTGTCGCGGGCGTGCGACGCGGCGTGCGCCCCCAGCTCCTCGGCGCGCCGGAACGCGCGCCCGCACGCCTCGCAGACGTGCCCGCCGCCCTGCGCCAGCCAGGCTGCGCGTCGCACAGCGACAACCGCCATTCGTCACTAAGCCGCGGTGACGTCACCGCGGCGCCTGCGCCAGGCCAGGTGCACTTTAAGGCCACGTGAAGTGTCGAACGCCCGCTGGCGGGAGGTCACGGGGCAGGCCCGGCTGCCATGGGTTGACCGAGATGACTGGCCGATGCGCCACTGACGAGTGACCCTCACGAATTGTGCGTTCTCCTCGCTTGTTACGAATGGCTTGCCTCCACTGTGCTGAATTACAGGCGTGCATAGCCACCATTCGGTGGTCGCCCATTCAAGCATTAACCCGGCACATTTGGTGATAGGAGGTATATGTCAGTGTAAATTCAGATGATCAGATTTTTTATTTAGACTGCAGGAGAAATCCGATGAAGCTCTTTTTCACAGATATTCGGTAGGGGCACGGGGTGGGAAGATTATAACAACGAACAATACCAAAAGCACGATAGGAGAGCAAAGTATAGGAAATCACTTAAAAATATATATATTTTTTTTATCTTACCAGGTAGGGCCCCACTGAGCTATTAACTTATTTTTTTGAAGCGACCTGACCACAAATGATAGCTCAACAAAGTCACTTATCATGTGAAAATTTACAGCAGCAAAATAACCAAAATAATCTGAAGTTACAATAATACAAAAATAACGGCAGCAACAAAAGGAAAAAAGGTTGCTCACAAAAAGGTTTCTCAAACACCACAATGCTCCAAAAAAGTACGTGACAATTACTCAATGGTAATAACACGGCAGCAAAACTTCGCCCCGACTACTGCGAAAACGCCACAGGACCCTCCTTGAAAAAGAGATTTGAGACCTGGCGAGGGCTTTCCTGGGTGAACAAGCGTCAGAGTAATAACGATGAATAATAACTCGGCTCCTGTAGCCAGGAGCTTGGGGTTTTCGAGGTGAATCAGGAGTTTTATAATGTTATTCACAAAGGCAGATTTACCGCTGATGACCGTTTTGATTAACTAAACAGCATGCAATAATCGTGTGTTAAGGATTGCCATTGGTCCTTTAACGCAGGAAACAATCGAAATATAAACAGCTCATCGCGTAAACGTGTACCCGTGAGCCCGTGTCCCGGGCTGTCCGTTACAAGTGAATGGGAATACTTTTACTTTGTAATCGAGTTTTCATTACAAAGTGCCCTGGAGTTGCTCTACACGATGGCAATAGGATGAATGCACTCCTATCGTACATTTGTACCGTTCGTCGTTGTAACGATCTTACCCCACGCCCCGACTGGACGTCTGCGAAAAAGAGCTTTATAGCTCATCGGATTCCTCCAGTATAAATATTATGATTCTGTATACAGGGACTCCTCTACTTACGAACGAGTTAGGTTCCAGAAGGTCTGTTCCTAAGTCGAATTGTTCGTAAGTCCAATTTTACTCCTGTCGATTCCAAATGTGTTGTACGGTGTGTACACTAAACAGGGGGAATGGTTTTAAAAGTTGCATAATCTCCTGTAGATGCCATTGGTCCTTCACATTCTGCAGATGTAGATGCCACTGGTTCTTCATGTTCTGCAGATGTAGATGCCACTGGTTCTTCATGTTCTGCAGATGTAAATGCCACTGGTTCTTCACGTTCTGTAGATGCCACTGGTTCTTCATTTTCTGCAGATGTAAATGTCACTGGTCCTTCACATTCTGTAGATGTAGATGCCACTGGTTCTTCATGTTCTGCAGCTGTAGATCCCACTGGTTCTTCACTCTCGACAGATGTAGATGCCACTGGTTCTTCACTCTCTACAGATGTAGATGCCACTGGTTCTTCACGGTCTGCAGATGTAGATGCCACCACGACCATCTATTGTGCGGCGATTGAACTTACGACTCTCGGTCCAGACAGGCAACTGGACGTGCGGACGGGTTTGTTCGTATCCCTGAAAGTTCGTAAATCGAACGTTCGTAAGTAGCGGAGCCCCTGCATAGCTCATAGGATTCCTCTGGTATAAACAAATATTCTGATTCTGCGTAGTGTTGCACGGTTCTACTCGGGAGGTACAAGACATCCGTTTCTGGGGCCGTGTCATCCTCCGAGGAGCACCTGCAACGCTAGGGGCGCTCTGTGCGAACCTTGGGAGTCGCTTTCCGTCTTCAGGATGAGCTCGCTGACGGACGTCCACACGCCGACGCTGTCTTCTCCGGAGGAGCCTGGCCCCGCCGCGTCACCCGACATCGTAGCGACACCTTGCACCTCTCGGCAAAAAAAAAAAAAACAAGGATCAAACGCGGACGTTAACGATGGGACACATTCCAAGGGACGGGCGCACCCGTTGCGCGTACGTGTACAGCGTAGCCCTCTTCTAGATTCACTGCTGGATGAGGGCCTCCATGCGCCGTGCAGGTCGTGGGCGGGGTGGGTGTTATTTCATTTGATATTTCACGCTCGGTCAGTGCGGATATCTGAAAACATAGCTGCGGGAGCACAGAAGTACGGTCCAACAATGGATTTCGCTTCACTCTCCTATGCTGCCCACAACGTCCTTTCTCCCGCACCTCCGATTAGCAAGGTCGGCTACGTACAGCGCGAAAGAAGTTCAACGTACATGCGACGTAGCTCGTCCGCAGTTGAGAACACCCGATGAATAATAATAATAATAATAATTTTAAGTCATAACGATCCACGCTGCATTCGCTCACTCCCGGGCTTCAGACAACGACTCAGAGGCACGACGAACCACAGACAAAGCGGGAGGGCAGCAGCCAATGCAGTTAGAGGGCAGCTTAACATGTAGGCTTTCGCGACCAATATTATCCATAACACAGGTTTTGTTGGGTTAGATCGCGTCAAACTATAAATGTGTCGTTAAAACCGCCACCACCCGACAAGAGGCAATTAGTAAGGGTTGTGTCACGTAAACAGAACATTCCAATTCGTTACTAGTGCAGCACTAGTGTATAGTGTAGTGTATAGTAGTGTAGTGTATTATTAGTACAGCAAAACCGGCGTATTGGAGAGCCAAGCATCAACATCTACAATCTGAGTACGACGTTTCGCCAGTAATTACAACCAGCTTCATGAGGAGACAGCCAGATTTGTGGAGAAGTCCACCTGTTTCGTTCCTTAAATAGAGGCGTAGATGTGATGACCACACTTGTGTGCGAAGTGTGTGGTGGGGGGATTAATGAATGCATATAAATGCCTATGGGTATCGATTGCCGTTCAGGTTATTTATATCAGCGGTCCCCAACCTTTTTGGCACCAGGGACCGGTTTTGTGGAAGACAATATTTTGACGGACCGGGAAGGGGGGGGGGTTGTTCATCATTGGGTCTTTCCCCCTTTTCAAAGAAGCTCTCTAGCTATGTTTGTGTTTTTACTCATTGTGGCTACTAGGGGTTAGAGCTTGTGGGCTTACCAACACCGTGACTGAGACGAGTGCGCAGTGCGGGAAAGGGGCGCGGATGGAAGTGGTAAATAATAAAATAATGGGGACGGGCCACGTGCGGACTCACCGCTCTCACCTCCTGCTGTGCAGCCCGTTTCCTAACAGGCCACGGACCGGTACCGGTCTACGGCCCGGGGGTTGGGGACCCCTGATTTATATGGTAATAAACGCACATTACGCGAGCCTATTGTTCTTGAACTTCCGATCGATTGTGTGTACTAAAATAACCATACCAACGGTAATCCCTATTGAAGTATGGTGACCTGTATAGGCATGCATTTAAACAATATACAATATTATTTGATGATTCTTTCCAAGCAGCACTAAGCCTGTAGCTATCTGAACGGTTAAAATTAATTTTTTAATCTCAAATTCGAAATAAATTATCTAATTAGTCTTGGCCAGCAGTAGCTAGTTTTGCACAGAGCTTCAAAATTATAAAAATCAATTGAGTATCCTTGTTGGCACGCGTGTTCTGCTACTGCTAATATTTATTTAATGTCAGTTAGTGGGCACCAGCAATTGCCCAGGCTCTGCAGTCCTCTCTATACACTCATATGTTTTCACCCAATTAGTCAGTATTTATACATGAGGGAGGACGCTGGAGAGCCCGGAGAAACTCCCCCCCCCCCTCGCCGTATGCGAGGGGGCAACGCTTTATCCCATACAGCAGGGAACAACAACCCGTCTGACAAGCCATGCTTATGGCACCTCGACGCCCCCACGGGATCCATCAACCATCGCCTGCACAGTGCTGGATTACAGGCGACTCAACTTTGCACCTCCGATCAGCACAATCAGCAACGAACGGTGCGAAAGACGTTCAATATACAGTCCATACACACATGCTGCACGTTTCAAATTGTTTCTGTACGTCAATGCTGTTCTTATACAGTAAAAATATGTGTTAAGTGAATTGTATTTCCTTATTATAATCATTATCACAGACTGATAATCCACTGCAACATGAATCATTCCCTCTCCACTATGTTCACCATCACTCACGGTTCAGTGCTGCTACCATCCATCTCACTCCTGCCACGTACACCGATCTAATCGCTCCATCTCCATGCGGGTCGTCCTCTTGGGTGCAGTCCTCCCCTTGGTCGTCATGATTATAAGCGCACTACCTGCTGTGACACAGGGTTCAGAAACACGCTCGACCAACACAAACGATGCAACGGAAACTGAAGTGTAAAGAAGCGTGGTGTGAAGAACGCTTTGGAATCACACCGAAAGAGAAACAACGTGGATTTGAGAACACGCGCAGATTGACATAATTCAGTGTTAAGAACATTTTTACGTTTAACTTATTTTGCACCGTACGTAGCCAACCGTGCGAATCAGAGGTGCGGAAGGAAAGGACAAACTCAACACAAAAAGCAGTTCTCAAGAAATGGGTCTCTGTGTGAGTCTACGGATCTCTGTCTTGAGTCTACGCATGTATTTTGAACTTCTTTCTCACCGTACATAGCCAACCGTGCTAATCGGAGGTGCGTGGGGGGGGGGAGAAATTAGAATCGAAATTAGTGGTCCCTCGGTTTACGATGCCATCGATGAACGATATTTTGATGAACGATCCGCCTCCCACAGGGTCCCCCCATTGTTTATATTACCGATTTTATGACATCACTGGGACCCGCCAATTTCAGCCAATCGGAGCGCTCCTAAAGTAGGCTCGGCTGACCAGAGCCGACCCCAACTTCTCCATCAACCCCCTGAAGCGTATCTGTCAACCCCTTATCAGTGCCCTACCTTATTACAGACCAATTCAGAGCTTATTGGTCACCCCGTGCCCTTATAAATCTTAACGTTCATCCTACAAAGTCCCATCACAAGGGAGAAACACAATCACCACTAGTACACTCACCACTACATACCTATCAACCCCTTATAAAGTGCCATACCTTATTACAGACCAATTCAGAGCTTATTGGTCACCCCGTGCCACTTACAAATGATCAACATTCATCCTACAAAGTCCCATCACAAGGGAGAAACACAAACAAAGAGACAAAAAATGTTTTTCCCCGTATTAAAACGGCTGTACGCCGGATGGACTTGAAACCTCAATTTCCCTGTACAATAATACGGGGTAAACCGTATGGGTTGACAGCTGTGCTTAAGCCATCAACCTTCTTAGCCTAAGGGAAGAATTTGTTTTGATTCAAAGCTTTCGTGATCGCAGGGATTCACATTCTTGGTTCTTTCTGTAAAGTCACCACGTAGAAGGGAAACAATAAAATAAAACATTCAAATTCTCACGTTTCGACTGCAACACAAGCAATCATCATCAGGTGTGAAAACCACAGCAATAAAAATTTGAAAAAAGTGGCGGTTATTTAAAACGTTAGCACCACGGTTAGCGATTTGACAGTTTGTTTAGAAGGACGAGTCCATCTATGTTCGGAAAAGAGGGGGGAGACGAAAAAATAATGTATGTTGTCTGAAAGCCACCGTAAGCGTGAACAATCAATTAAGACCCGAAATGGTTGATAAAATCCTTCCAATGATTGCTAAGCCAGAATCCATCTGACATTAATATTTACGCGGTCTAAACCCCAACACACAAACCAATCTACCCGCCCCCTCTATTATGGATGTTATTTCCTGTATTCGATTAACTCACCACCGTGATAATGATGAGACACAGACTCCAAATGTACAGCTGCAGGCGTCGGGATCGAACCCACGACCTCCTGCATACCAGGTGAGGTAGTTAACATCTCCTAGCCACCGTGATGATGATGAGAGACGCAAACTCCAAATATACAGCAGCAGGCGTCAGGGTCAGGTTCAGGATCGAACCCACGTCCTCCTGCACATCAGGCGAGGTAGTTAACGTCTCCTAGCCACCGTGATGACGGTGAAAGAGACACGCAAACTCCTAATATACAACAGCAGGCGTCAGGGTCGGGATCGAACCCACGACCTCCTGTACACCAGGCGAGGTAGTTAACATCTCATAGCCACCGTGATCATGATGAGAGAGAGAGACACGCAAACTCCAAATATACAGCAGCAGCAGGCGTCTGGGTCGGGATCGAACCCACGTCCTCCTGCACACCAAGCGGATATACCCATCGCCGATAATTCCGTAATAATTCCAAGTCACAAGTAGATTCCCTGCTCCCAATGAGAACTTTTAAAGCACAGGCGCTCGCCTCCCGCTTACAGCCCAACCAGGCTTAGCGGTGGCGATTCCACATTCCTGCGGCGAGGGCGAGTTTAACCACCCCCCTCCCCCCCATAAACATCGCACCGTTTGCAGCGAGGGGCTTCGTAAACCACGTCGTGCGCAGTTACACGACCATACTTCACCACGCTGGGCGTGTGAATGGGAAGCGGCCGCCGCTACGTGGGGGGGGCGGGGAGCATAGAAGCGACGAGCGTAGTGCAGTACAACAAGTGGACGACAAATAACGGGCCAGACGCGAACGGGAATAACACAAACTCTCACGGAGAAAAGGCGACGCCTTGGGCTTTCCGTTGCGCGGACGGGGCGAAGAAACGCGTCGTTGCGGCGGCGTTTGGTTTTATAAATGTATTTATTTTTTAAATGTATTTCTTTTTAAATGTATTTATTTTTTAAATGTATTTATTTTTTAAAGGGGACGCCCACCCCTACCTCCATCATCATCCATCCCGGGGCTCCTCGCTAGGCCTCAGGCGACCCGGCATGCCCCGCGCGCGTTGCCCATAGCGACGGGTCACGACCGATCAACGGCGTTGCGAAAGTGGCCGTGAGTGTCCGCGCGCGCGCGAACAAAAAAAAGTGCGAGCCGGAACGACGAAAAGACGAATGAACGGCGAGGGAAAACCGCGAGAGGGAATTTTTTGGGTTTCTCCTCTCGCGTCGTCTTCTCGCTTTTATGATCGCCGCCAATCGGGGGGAGGGGGTGGTGGTGACGCGGCGGAGCTTGAGATATCCCTCCGCGCGATCCTTGGGTTTCTATATCTACACGTGGATTGAGTTCGATCGCGTTATTGTTGTTGTTCGGTTAAGGGCGCGTAAATGTAAATGTGTCTTGACTTAAAGCTTTCGCGACCGCGGGAATTCATATTCTTGGGTTATTTCGGTAAAGCCACGTAGATGGGGTAAAAGAAAATAACAACAAAAACTACAAGAATATAAATGTGTCGTGAAACCCGCCACTACCACCACTCAATACAGCAAATTAATAATCTTCTTTGGTTCTTTCGGTAAAATCACGTAGAATGAGAATAAAATAATAAATTGATAAAATTAAATAACACAAAATTCTCACGACGTTTCGGCCACAACACAAGCGGCCGAAACGTGAGAATTTCATTGTGTTATTTTATTTTATAAATTTATCATTTTATTCTCATTCTACGTGACTTTACCGAAAGAACCAAAGAAGATGAATCCTTGCAGTCACGAAAGCTTTAAATCGACAGCAAATTAAGTAAAGGGTCGTGTGTCACGTCAACAAACACATTAACCTATTTGTATGTTTTATTTTTAAATTATATCTTAAAGCTATTTTATATTCGATATTTATTCAATTTTATATACTTCAGCCCCTTGGTGTTAGACTTTTAACCCTTATTATAGTAAGACTTGTTTAAAACTTATTTAAGATTTTAGATTCCTATATGTTGAATGTATGCACCATCCTGCCAAAGTAAATTCCGTGTCGGTGTGAACTTTCATGGCGAATAAAACCCTTTCTGATTCTGACATGACGGTGGTCAACTCGTTACACGAAGAGTACAGCACCACAGCTTCATGTGTTGGATTGCGTTATGTCGATTACTCGATGAACAACCTCACCTGTATACTTAGCTCTTTCGGTAAAGTCACGTTGAAGGGAAACAATAAAATATATATAAAACAAAAATTCTCACGACGTTTCGACCGTAACGCAAACCGGTCATCAACGTGACTTTACCGAAAGAGCTAAGAATATGAATTACTGCAGTCACGAAAGCTTTAAATCAAAATTTAACCTCACCTGTAATTAATTATTGTCATTTACTTGACTGAATTAACACCTAACTCTGGTCTTCGCCCCTGATTTAGCTCACAAGTGACAAGGTCACATCGGTTTACTGTATGATAGTTGGGTAATTGCAGCCCTTTAGCGTCCATATACTAAATGCCTCTGTTGATATGTAAACTTTGACTTTAACGTAGCTATTTCTGTGACCAGTCACAAGCTAATCCCTCAGCTATTTCAATGCTAAATTCTCCTGTTTGATATGTAAACTCCTTTGTCAAGGCGATTCACTTCTCCCACCTAGATTAAAAGATGCTGCGAATCTTAGCGTTCATTGAAGCGCTGTCGTCCCGACAGTTCTGTTCCTTCACCTGAAGAAGGCTACTTGTGTTGTGGCCGAAACGTCGTGAGAATTTTATTGTTTTATTTTTATTACTTTGTTTCCATTCTACGTGACTTTACCGAAAGAACCAAGAAGATGAATCCCTGCAGTCACGAAAGCTTTAAATCAAAATTCCAATAGCTGTCAATTCAAGCGGTTTACCCCGTATTGTTAGGGCAAATTGAATAATAGGTTTTTACCCTTTTATCTGGCAACAAATCTGATACCTTTTTTTTTACAAGGGATCATGTTTACATTAACCACAATACTTGCGGTCAAAATGCAAACAAAAAGACAACACTGATAATATATGCATTGTCCTTGAAATTGATTGGTCCAGACCCGAGACAGCTTTCCTTAGAGCCTAGTCTCACATGGTGTTGGACCAGATGACGCCAAAAGGCGCACAACTCAAAGACAACAACGCACCATCAGAGTATTGAGAGCTCGGTGTAAGCATTTACATCACGAGATGTAAAAGGGTAAAAACCTATTATTATATTTTGCTACTGGCAAATGAGGTCTTATGAGGGCAAATTGAGTTTTCAGGTCCTTAAGGCATACAGCCGTTTCAATACGTGCTTAAAAAAACGTTTCTATTTGTGTTTCTCCCTTGTGATGGTGGGACTTTGCGGGATGAACGTTGAGATTTCTAAGGTGACCAATAAGGTCTCAATTGCTACTCTTTTGATTCTTTCGGTGAAGTCACGTAGGTAGAAACAAATAATAGGTCACGACGTTTCGAACGATTGCTTGCGTTGCGATGGAAACGTCGTGATCTATTACCTTTTCTACCTACGTGACTTTACCGAAAGAACCAACAGGTATGGATTCCTGCAGTCACGAAAGCTTCAAATCTTAATTGGTCTACTACACACTACAAAACACTACACCATACACTACACTACTATACCATGCATGTCAACCTATACTGTTAGCTGCATTCTTGTACAGCCGTTTCAATACGACCAAAACATACATTTCAATTTGTTTGTGTTTCTCTCCTTGTGATGGGACTTTGTAGGATGAACGTTGAGATTTATAAGGGGGCACTGGGTGACCAATAAGGTCTGAATTGGTCTGTAATAAGGTAGGGCACTGATAAGGGATTTACAGGTATGTAGTGGTGAGTGTGCCACGTTTTGTTCACGTGAAGCAAACCTTTATTTAATTGGCTGTGTCGGGTGGTGGTGGCGGGTTTAACAACACATTAATATAGTTATGCGATCTAACCCAAACACCTCTATTGTGGATATTGGTAGCAAAACCCTGACTACTAAGTGTTAAACTGACTGCAATTGCTTTCCACGCTTCAGGTATCTATCAGCCTTGTCTATCAACTACTGCATCAGGAGCTTGCCATACGCCAGAGAGAGATCAGTCTTCTTGTGTATCGACTGCTGGATCAGGAGCTTGCCATACGCCAGAGAGAGATCAGTCTTCTTGTCTATCCACTGTTGGATCAGGATCTTGCCATACGCCAGAGAGAGATCAGCCTTCTTGTCTATCCACTGCTGGATCAGGATCTTGCCATACGCTAGAGAGAGATCAGCCTTCTTGTCTATCCACTGCTGGATCAGGATCTTGCCATACGCTAGAGAGAGATCAGTCTTCTTGTATATCAACTGCTGGATCAGGATCTTGCCATACGCCAGAGAGAGATCAGTCTTCTTGTCTATCCACTGCTGGATCAGGATCTTGCCATACGCCAGAGAGAGATCAGTCTTCTTGTCTATCCACTGCTGGATCAGGATCTTGCCATACGCCAGAGAGAGATCAGTCTTCTTGTCTATCAACTGCTGGATCAGGATCTTGCCATACGCAAGAGAGAGATCAGTCTTCTTGTCTATCAACTGTTGGATCAGGATCTTGCCATACGCCAGAGAGAGATCAGCCTTCTTGTCTATCAACTGCTGGATCAGGATCTTGCCATACGCCAGAGAGAGATCAGTCTTCTTGTCTATCAACTGCTGGATCAGGAGCTTGCCATACGCCAGAGAGAGATCAGTCTTCTTGTCTATCAACTGCTGGATCAGGAGCTTGCCATACGCCAGAGAGAGATCAGTCTTCTTGTCTATCAACTGCTGGATCAGGAGCTTGCCATACGCCAGAGAGAGATCAGTCTTCTTGTCTATCAACTGCTGGATCAGGAGCTTGCCATACGCCAGAGAGAGATCAGTCTTCTTGTCTATCAACTGCTGGATCAGGAGCTTGCCATATGCTAGAGATCAGTCTTCTTGTCTATCCACTGCTGGATCAGGAGCTTGCCATACGCCAGAGAGAGATCAGTCTTCTTGTCTATCAACTGCTGGATCAGGAGCTTGCCATACGCCAGAGAGAGATCAGTCTTCTTGTCTATCAACTGCTGGATCAGGATCTTGCCATATGCCAGAGAGATATCAGTCTTCTTGTCTATCAACTGCTGGACCAGGAGCTTCCTCCACTGCCGTGCGGTCACATGGGGATTATTTTAACCATACTTCACCACGCTCGTTTCAGTGCCTTTTCATTATCGGGATCTTGATTGAGACTGCAAGAAGGAATCCGATGAACAAGGCTCTCCTCCCCCCCCCCCCCCCCCACAGCTGTTCCTGGAGGTGCGCAGAGTCAGAACGTTACCAACAACACAATACAACAAACAATATAGGGGTAAAAAGTATAGGAAAAGTAAGCAAGTCACTAAAAAAATGAATAAAAGCAGAAGGGGTTAATGCCTTCTGACAAGGCATTGCTATTATGCCCCCTCGACAGCCACGGGATCCATCAAGCATCGCCTGCGCAGTGCTGTATTACAGGCGTGCATATGTAATGACAGTAGAGCCTGCATACAGTGTGAGTGGACTAGGGCGCACGGGCGGTAATGACAGGGGAGTCATCCTGCAGTGTGAATGCACTAGTGGCCACGGGCGATAATGACAGGGGAGTCAGCCTGCAGTGTGTATGCACTAGTGGCCACGGGAGGTAACGACCAGGGGAGTCAGCCTGCAGTGCGAATGCACTAGTGGCCACGGGCGGTAATGACAGGGGAGTCAGCCTGCAGTGTGAATGCACTAGTGGCCACAGGTTCGAGAAGGGGGGCGTGGCCTCGTGTTGGTATATAAGGAGGAGATGCGCGGGAGATTCGGGGCTGTTGCGGTGGGGGTCTCCGCCTGATGCCGAGTGAACGTGTCTTCAATAAAGTGCCATCTCAAGAGAAGTGTGTCAAGTCGTCATTACATATAGACACCGTCCAGTGGTCGCCCATTCAAGCATTAACCCTGCTCAGCTTCCGAGATCAAAGATCGGGCACATACCTGGGGGCATTTGGTGATAGGGGGAATCCGATGAGATGTGGAAGCTCTTTTTTCCACAGATGTCCAGTCAGGGCACGGGGTCAGAACGTTACAACCACAAACAGTTACAAAGAACACACGATAGGCGTGCAAAGTATAGGAAAGGTACAGAAATCAGTAAACATTGTATAGGAAAGGTAAGCAAGTCACTAAAAATATATTCAATAAAATGAATAAAGTACTACTGTATCGATTCCTGCCAATGTTTCAACAAGGCAACAAAATAACAAGCCCAGACCACAGCAACACAACAACACAGTCCCTCAATACAATTGAACATTCTACACAATCTGCCAACTTGACAGATTACTCTTAACGTTTTTCAATTGTTAAGGCGTGTTATTATTATATGTCCGGTATGACGAGGCTCAGCGAGTGAATTGATTGGTACCCCGTTTTAAATCATTTTAATACAGACGAGTAGTGGAGTGACGTAATGTCATTCGGGGGGGGGGGGGGGGGTAAGAATGGATGACGTCAGGTTACGGGGGATATATAAGGAGGGACCCGTGACGTAGAGGGGGTCGTCGCGAAGGGCCAGGAACGGAGATAGGGAGTCGGGATCCAGGGTAGGGGGAATCAGCGCCAGGCGAGAGTGACAACTTCACTCGGCCGACCGAGTTGGATGATCCCTCGGTCGGTGCTGGGGGGGGGGGGGGAGATCACGTCTAGCCTGGGTGGAGCTAGGGACCTCCCAGTACCCTTTCCTCTGGGGAGATATTAGGGTTGTCACCTGTTAGGCGTAAGTTACCGGCAGTAGCCCTTAATAAACCTTGGCATCCGCCCCTACTCAAGAACCGTGTCAGCGTCGTCAGTTGCACTTCAACACATATAACCTGCTCGCTCTATCTCTGCGTTTAAAGGCGTAAGTCACGAACGCTGCCGTCTCTGGCACACCAAGACAAAGCCGAGGAGTTTTAAGGCCAGGCAAGAGAATCCTTGGGGCGGCTGAGTGGCGCGGTGGTTAACGCTCGTGTCTCGCACGGCAAGGCCACAGAGAGCCCCAGTTCGATTCCTGACTCGGTCTATGGGCAGTGTGAGTCTTTGGGCAGCGTGCGTCTAAGGGCCGCGTGAATCGATGGACTGTGTGAATTCATATACAGCGTGAGCCTATGGACACCGCGAGCCTATGGACACCGTGAGCCTATGGGCAGCGTTAATCTATGGGCAGCGTGAGTCTATGGGCAGTGTGAGTCTATGGGCAGCGCGAGTCGATGGACAGCGTGAGTCGATGGAGAGTGACGCGTGCTGTAAATTTGGAGTTTGCGCGTCTCCCAGAAACATTTTAAACAATGATTCGATAATGTTTGTCCCCAGCCTTCTAAATAACACGGAATGTTCCAGTAAAAGAAAATGGAATTCCCAGTTGCCCCGAATAATGTTATTCTTGCAGAAAAGTCACTCGAGGATAGTACAATTTGTCCCATTACGTACATTTTTCCAGAAGCATATTTTATTTATAAATGATGAGACAACCCTTGCCTTTCATTTACTTCTGTTACTTCCGAGCCTTTAGACAGAAGTAGATTTCAAGGGCCCTTTCAGTTCTCAGCCCCTACAGACGCCCGTGAAAAAGCTTCATAGCCCATCGGATTCCTCCAGTATAACACATTCTGATTATGATCTTCAAGAGCACACAGTGAAACCTTGGATTGCGAGCATAATTCGTTCCGGAAACGTGCTCGTAATCCAAAGCACTCGTATATCAAAGCGAATTTCCCCATAAGAAATCATGGAAACTCAGATGATTCGTTCCACAACCCAAAAATGTTAATATAAAAATGATGTAAATACAAAATACCTTTTAATATTTTTATTATTTTAATATACTATAAAGTAATCCAATTTATTAATTACATTTAATCGTGGCTGGTGTGAGGGAGACGAGAGAGGAGAAGAGGGTTATTGTGTCAGACGACTTTCACTTGCAGTACAGTTACTAAAGAAGAGTCACTACACTTGGACACAAAATAAAAACATGCTTTACGCACACACGTGGTCACAACACTATACTGTGGTAAACAGTATACACGTGGTCACAACACTATAGTACTATAGTAAACAGTACACACGTGGTCACAACACTATTGTACTGTAGTAAACAGTACACACGTGGTCACAACACTATAGTACTATTGTAAACAGTATACACGTGGTCACAACACTATAGTACTATAGTAAACAGGATACGCTCGCACGGATGTTGACTATACGAGTGAGGCACGCCGACTGAGACCGAGCATGGGGGATGATTACCCACAATCCCGCAGCGAGAGAAGAACCATTGGCTCAGTTGTGATCACGTGACGCTCGGCAAACAAAGCATGTACTGTATGTACTGCTCGTATTGCAAGACATCGCTCGTTTATCAAAATTATTACTTAACATTTTTTGCTCGTCTTGCAAAACACTCGCAGACCAAGTTACTCGCAATCCAAGGTTTCACTGCATAGCAGCCCTTCTGTATCTCCTTAACAGAAGCTACTTGGGCATGCGGCGGCTGAGCAAGCATGTTGGCTACGCGACTCAGCCAACGCAGCCTCGCCTGCCGGAAGAGCTCACCGACGACGACGATGATGATGATGACGGGGACCGCTAGCTTCATCGCAACGCCACTCGCTTACACACACACACGAGCAAATGTTACAACGCCACACTCGCCCAAGCGATAAAAAGGAATTTATTACACGGACATTAATTTCAGTATACCAACGTGTAACTCGCGGTTTCAGATGCAACAAACGGCGCAGCGACCGGCCAGGGTTTCAAACGACACGAAGAAAACAGCACGGTAACAAGGCAGCACTCCGCACTTCCTTTTTGTAAAAAAAAAACAGAAACCCCCGCACAGCTTCTTCGTGTGCGTGCGTGCGACACTTTGATCCGATGGGCAGGGGTGGGGAGAGAGAGCGAGCGAGTGAGGAAGGAGGGCGTTTTTTAAACCCCCTAAGCCATCGCTCCCAATAAGTGGTGCGTTTCAATTTGGATGCGATCGGCACGATTGGCCAGCCGTTCAGTTTACCCTTTTCGCCACATTCTCCGGATTACAACACACACACATTTCCTCCCCCACCCCACCACCACCCTCCCCGTGTTTTCGTGCAAATCTTGGCGGCGAGGGGAGGTGGGTGCATCCTACGCATGCGCATGATCAGATGTGTCCAATTTCATTGACGCCCGGTTAATAATAGTCGGGCGTTGCGTCTGACTTTCATCTGGAGCGTCTTATAATCCATCCCGGAGAATGCGGCGATCTCCGTGGCAGTACAGCCGCGATTCTCAAATGTTTATTATCCATCGCGCCCACAACGGACGTTGCCGATGGCCCCGAGGGTTGGTTTTTAAAGTGCACTCATATCTCGACAGGAAAGGTGACAACACTGCAGAGCAATTACAGTGATCCCGCCCCCGGTTAAGCGTCACAACTCCGCAGCATATTTCCCCCCCCCCCCAAACCCACCCCATCCGCAGGGTCACTTCGTATAAGAACCGACGACGGTTCAACCTCTCCCCGAAGCCCGCCGAGTGGTCGAGGTCGGTGACCACAGCGCCCACCGTTTTCACGTCAAGTGAAGAACGCCACCGCGAATTACATGCCGCCGACGACGACGACGCCGCAAAGCGGTCGTCGATGGCTGCACCGAATGTCGAGCGCGTTTCCCCGCGTGCTCTCTCACTCCAAGCTCCGCTTTCGGAAAGGGGCCTCTCATTATCTGGCACAGGGGGGACATGGAGAGAACCACTCATTCGCTCACTCGCGCGCGCACGCACGCACGCACGCCCCCACAAGCTAAAACAAAGTGCTGTGGTTGTGCAAGTCGGACCGTTTTAAGAATTCTCGGCAAAGGTCTGGGTTACCTGTCACGGCTGATGTCAAAGACCTGAAGAGTCACAATACACAGAGAACAACCCCCCCCCCCCCCCGTGCCCCCACCGCAACGAGACTTAAATTAAGACAACACTAATATCGTGCGTTTCCGGCTCGTCCAAGATACATGCTCCCCGAAGCGTCGTGAACGAGACAGAAAGACTGCAGAGTCACACAGTTGCGTTACCTAACAGTAGGAGGGTTAAATTTCGATTTAAAGCTTTCGTGACTGCAGGGATTCATATTGTTGGTTCTTTCGGTAAAGTCACCACGTAGAAGGGAAACAATAGAATAATAAAAATATAAAACAATAAAATTCTCACGACGTTTCGACTGCAACACAAGCTATCATCATCAGGCAAGAACATTTTCCTGCTGTGGTTTTCACACCTGATGATGGTTGCTTGTGTTGCAGTCGTAACGTCGTGAGAATTGTATTGTTTTATATTTTTATTATTTTATTGTTTCCCTTCTACGTGGTGACTTTACCGAAAGAAGCAAGATTATCGTAGGAGGGCTATGCGTTCTGGCGACGGTAACAGCCTCGGGAAAGCGACGTTACTCTGCAAAGAGCCTTTCTAGATTTAAAGCTTTCGTGACTGCAAGGATCCATACTCTTTGGTTCTATTCGGTAAAGTCACGTAAAAAACAACAAAAAATAACAAAAAATTTACGACGTTTCGGCCACAACACAAGTGGCCTTCATCAGGTGAAGGGACCAGACTGTCTAGAGGACAGCGCTGGAGTTCACTCCAGACAGTCTGGTCCCTTCACCTGATGAAGGCCACTTGTGTTGTGGCCGAAACGTCGTGTATTTTTTGTTGTTTTTTACGTGACTTTACCGAATAGAACCAAAGAGTCTGCAAAGAGCCGTTTGTGTCTTGGGCAGCGTCTTCCAACGGCGGCGCGGGCAATGACGTGCGCGGAGAAGCACAGACGGGAAACGCTTCACCACTGAACACTGCCTTGGTTGAAGTACTGGGTTCATGTGCGAGTTTGTCGAGTCAGCCGTGAACAAAGCCGGCTCTCGAGTGGAGCGGGGTTGACGGTCCCGGCCAGGCTGTGGGTCATCGCTTCCCCAACCCCGACGTATAAAAATAAGGGCCGTGTGGTGGATCGTGCCTTGATGTCGCTCGCAGTCGCTGTTCGCTTGCATACGCAATCAGGGGCGGAGCCAGGGGGGGTGACAGGGTAGACAATTGTCACCCCCGAAAAAATAAAAAATCGAAAATCTGAAACATTCTGCGTATAAGTGTATGACACTCGGTCTGGCGTACTCCGTGCAACTGCATTGTCAGAGTGTGTCGCCAACCGATGGCATCTAGTTCAACAGCCTGACTCTCTTAATCATCCTTGAAATTAAAATTTGTTGAATGTCTCCCCGGGCTGAAAATCCTGGCTCCGCCACTGTAAGCAATCCGCTTCTTCGCTAAAATTGGCGCTGGCTATTTTGAATAAAAAGGAGGTTTCGGGAAGTTGTTGTAATAAACGAAAACTAAAATCGCATACGTGAACGTTCAGCGGACGTAACGTCATTTTGCGCGACAATATTGCGTTGGTGAAAGCGCGTTGTGCAAAATGACAAAATGTGTACCTGGAGGGGGGAGGGGAAGGACTGATCGCAGATTGGGATTAAAATGGCGAAAACGAGACGCAAATTCCAAAAGCGCCGCGAGCGATGTTAATTTCCTGCCGTGGCATTCCAATCGTGGGCTCACGAATAAAAACGGAACAAAAAATGGTTGAGAAGCGACGGCCAAACGGGCGCGCTTGGAATCGACGCAAAGAGACGGGCGGGCACGAGTGAACGCTCGGGGGAATCGGGAACGAAACGCCGAGCGGGAGAAGTCACATTGACGGGTCTCAGACAAGCAAAAGCGGACTAGGGCGAGACGCGCCGCCAAGACGGACGACGGACCGACGGATGAGACCGGTGACGTCGCAGCGGGCGGCTCAAAGCGGGAAACGCGCTTGCAACGGGCGGGGCGCCCGCAACGCGGAGACGGAGCGAAAGGGGATCGGCTCGTGCGCCGGAGCGAGTTTAGAACGTGGCACCACGGCGGCCAAGTGGCACGGCGAGGGCCGTCGTCCAGAAGCCGCCGACGACGAATCTAATCCCGCTTCGAGACCAGCAGCGTATGCACACATCCTCGCATCGCCTTCCACACAGGTGCTGCATTAAAGAACGAAATGAACGAGGATAAATGGTGAATATTTTTCTACGAGCCAGTTGGGGGAGCAGGTTGAGTGGGAGGGCCTCCCATGTGGTCCCCCTTGAGCCAATTCTAGATATGAAGCTTTCGTGACTGCAAGGATCCATACTCTTTGGTTCTATTCGGTAAAGTCACGTAGGTAAAAATAAAATAACAAAAATCACGACGTTTTGGCCACAACACAAGTGGCCTTCATCAGGTGAAGGGACCGGACTGTCCAGAGGACAGCGTTGGACAGTCCGGTCCCTTCACCTGGATGAAGGCCGTTTGTGTTGTGGCCGAAACGTCGTGATTTTTGTTATTTTATTTTTACCTACGTGACTTTACCGAATAGAACCAAAGAGTATGGACCCCTTGAGCCAATCGGTAATTCCCTTCCCCCCCCCCCCCCCAATTGTTAACAATAATTTTCTTCAAACGTTCCATCGCCAGATCACATACAGGCATAATAACAAGCTCACCGTGGTAGCGTTTCACTAAAGGTCGCTGCAGTACGTTTGATAGTGAAACATTTATTTGGGGGGGGAGGGGGGGGGGAAGCCCCAAATGTGATGTGAAAACATCCACGGAATACGAGAACAGGAAGTGTGGATATAAATACATTTCTGTAATGCTAACATTTTTCCCCATGGTGGAATACTGTTAGCAAATTGTCATCCCTCCAGATGGTACCGGCCAACCTCCCCACAGGCTCACAAGGGCCTCATGGTGATGCGTTTATCTCTACCCAGCAACAGAGGCTAACCCCATACCGCCCAGCACTTAAGAGGGCGCGCGATCCGATCGTACGCAGAGAACAGCAACGGTGTGCTAATGGCTGTCTGTGTGTCACTGTGCTTTACTGCAACACTGCTGGTGTGTCAGCGTGCGTTTGTGTCAACGTGTCTTTGCGAGGCATGAGCGTTGCGGTGACGTCACCGCCACTTGGTGGCAAACTGGCGGCTGTCGTTGGTGTCATCATGTGTGCGTGTGTCAGCGGGCGTCAATGTGCGAGCGTCACCGTGTGTCACTGTGTGTGTCGGTGAGTGTGACAGTGTGTATAAGTGTCACTGTGTGTCAAGTATCACTGTGTGTCAGCGAGTGCCAATGTGCGAGCGTCACCGTGTCGCTGTGTGTCACTGTGTGTGCCGGTAAATGTGACTGTGTGTGTCAGTGTCACTGTGTGTGTCAGTGTCACTGTGTGTGTCAGTGTCACTGTGTGTGTCAGTGTCACTGTGTGTCAGTGTCACTGTGTGTGTCAGTGTCACTGTGTGTGTCGGTGAGTGTGACAGTAAATGTGACTATGTGTGTCAGTGTCACTGTGTGTGTCAGTGTCACTGTGTGTGCCAGTGTCACTGTGTGTGTCAGTGTCACTGTGTGTCAGTGTCAGTGTGTCAGCGAGTGTCAATGTGTGTGTCAGTGTCACTGTGTGTGTCAGTGTCACTCTGTGTGTCAGTGTCACTGTGTGTGTCGGCGAGTGTCACTGTGCGGGCGTCACCGAGTGTCACCGTGTGTGTCACCGTGTGTGTCACCGTGTGTGTCGCCGTGTGTGTCACCGTGCAGCAGTCACCGCGTGTCACCGTGTGTGTCACCGTGTGTGTCACCGTGTGTGTCACCGTGTGTCACCGTGTGTGTCGCCGTGTGTGTCGCCGTGTGCGTCACCGTGCGGGAGTCATTGCGTGTCACTGTGTGTCACCGTGTGCGTCACCGTGTGTGTCGCCGTGTGTGTCGCCGTGTGCGTCACCGTGCGGGAGTCACCGCGTGTCACTGTGTGTCACTGTGTGTCACCGTGTATGTCACCGTGTGTGTCACCGTGTGTGTCGCCGTGTGTGTCGCCGTGTGCGTCACCGTGCGGGAGTCACCGCGTGTCACTGTGTGTCACCGTGTGTGTCACCGTGTGTGTCGCCGTGTGTGTCGCCGTGTGCGTCACCGTGCGGGAGTCACCGCGTGTCACTGTGTGTCACCGTGTGTGTCACCGTGTGTGTCACCGTGTGTGTCGCCGTGTGTGTCGCCGTGCGGGAGTCACCGCGTGTCACTGTGTGTCACTGTGTGTCACCGTGTATGTCACCGTGTGTGTCACCGTGTGTGTCGCCGTGTGTCGCCGTGTGTGTCGCCGTGTGTGTCGCCGTGTGTGTCGCCGTGCGGGAGTCACCGCGTGTCACTGCATGCCGAACCACTGCTCGTGCTCGGCCCAGGGCGCCGTCTCGGTGTCGCTGACCTCGAGCTCCCCCTCGCCGTCCTCCCCGCTGATCCCCTCCACGTCGTCCCCGTCGTCCTCCCCCGACACCCCCTCCGCGCCGCCGCCCCCCTCCTCCCGCTCCAGCCGCTGCATCCCCTCCAGTGCCCTGCTGTCACTCCGATCCAGGCTGCGGGAGGGGAGAGAAGGGAGGGGTTAGCAGAGGGACAGGGGTTTATTGGGGAGAGGGGAGACATTGAAAATGGGACGAAATTTGGTTTTGATGCTGAGACACGGTCCCCCGGAGCCGAGTCCTCAACCGAGACTCTGACCCTGAGACCCGGTCTCCTAGAGCCGTCTCAACCGAGACTCTGAACCTGAGACCCGGTCTCCTGGAGCCGAGTCCTCAACCGAGACTCCGACCCCGAGACCCGGTCTCCCGGAACAAAGTCTCAACCGAGACTCCGACCCCGAGACCCGGTCTCCTGGAGCCCTCCCCAGGTGCTCACCTCAGTGCGATGCTGTACTGGTCCATGGCTTCCTGTGTGTTGTTGATGGCCGCCAAGAAGTCCCCGAGGATGCGGTGTAAGATTCCCACGCTGCGGTTCGTCAGTGCCGCTCTCACCAGCGCCATGGCCTCTTCACACTTCTGATCTCGACCTAACGGGAGGGGGAAGACGAGGTGGGGGGTGGGGGGGTTAATCAGCGTGACGATCCGACGAGACGTCGCTGCGGCGTTAGTGGTTATCACGCCACCGGGGCTGTCTCGCGCGACGTCGGGGAACATTCCGCAGAGTTCACCGCGCACATCCCGCGGCGGGTGCGAATTCGAGTCGTAGACACCGGTGGCAGTTACCCCCAACGACCTGGAGCCCCTTTGTTGCTGCTGCTCACTAATCACAAAATTAGAGGAGGAGAGGATGGTGGGGTACACGGCCGCTCACGTTTCCTCCATCGCCACCAGCATCACCATTCCCCGATCTCGATTGCCGCTTTCATCGCGGCTTTACCGCAATGGGTGATTTGACGCACACAGCGGGTTTGATGAGGTTCTCCGTGTCTAGTTTTTGTTCTGCTGGGTTTTTTTTTTGGCAATTCATTGATTGGCGCTCTCAAGGTGTTTGTTGTAAACCACTCAGAAAACTGTTTCCGTCGGAGGAGAAATTAAACGTGCGCAGCGGCGGTAACGCAAATTACGTAAAATTAAATCGCCGGAAAATATAAACACGCGCTTCTATTAACCCCCTCCCATTCCAATGTTCGTGTACATTGTCAGTTTTTATTCCAATTCCGTTCCGATGACGTACGTTCCCCATCTACTGGAAAACTTAAATAAAATACAGTAAAACCTTGGATTGCGTAGCATAATTCGTTTCGGAAACGTGTTTGTCATCCAAAGCACTCGTATATCAAAGCACTCGTATATCAAAGCACTCGTATATCAAAGCACTCGTATATCAAAGCACTCGTATATCAAAGCACTCGTCATATATCAGTGTGTGATCACGTGACGCTCGGCAGTACAAAGCGTCTACACGTACTGCTCTTATTGCAAGACCCTCGCTCGTTTATCAAATGAAAATGTATTTATTTTAAAAAAATGTGCTCGTCTTGCAAAACACTCGCGGACCAAGTTACTCGCAACCCAAGGTTTTACCGTAACCTTTATCGGTACCGAGACTTCCACGAGGAGGGCGCACGGCACAGTTTGGCGCCAGCTATCGTACAGTGCGGGCGGTCGTGTCGCGGTCGAGTGACAGTGTCTTCAAAAACAAACGGCGCCGCCGCGCTTCTCCGGATGAAGCGAACGCCGAGCCGCTCGCGCGCTCCCAGATTCCGCGGCGAGCGGGACGCCCACACGCCCCGCGACTTGCTGACGTCTCGGAACGGAAAAGGGTTAAAGAGGTCGTTACAGGCAACGATAAAAGGCGCAGCCCTGCGACTGCTCGCTCACGCCACTGCTGGCGGAGCGGGAGGCATCCGCGAGAGGCGTGCTCTCGAGGGTCACCGCCAGAGCGGTGCATCGCTGGCCACGCGTCTGGGAAGGCGTGAGAGTGCCCACGCTTTACCCCCGCCGCGTGTTCACGCTGCCGGGCGGGCAGAGGCGGCGGGGCAGGGGGAGTTTAAGAACCTCGTACCGTCGCTCGGCGAATCCAGAGGTGGCCCCGTTTGATTTGGTCTCCCGGTGTGGAAGTGTAAATGTTCGCCTTTTGGCGTCCTCTGAGGTCTAACAGCGTTTTGAGACGAGGCTCAAAAGAAAGCCGTCTCTGGTGTGGACCAATCAGTTTCGAAGACAATGCCACGTATATTATCAGAGTATTGGTTTTTTTTGTTTGCATTCTGACCACAAGTATTGTGGTTAATGCAGACACGATTCCCTGCAAAAGGTGTCATGTTGGTGTTTTAACATCTTAACACAGCTGTTTTGTTGCGAGAAAAAGAGGGGCAAAACCTCTTCTCAAGCGTAAATGTGTTCATACGAGAGCCTGTGTGTGCGTGCGTGCACATTCATGCGTGTGCGTGTGATGCGACGATGACAACGGCGGTCTCGGCTCACGCAGCAGCTCGGCCTTCATGATGACCGCCTTGATGAGATCCGGCTGCTGAGCAAGCGCGCGGTCGATGAGTCCGTGGGCCTTGTCGGTGCCGCTGGCCTCGTGCAGCCACACGCAGGCGTACATGGTGAGCACGGGCGCCGTGCAGCCCAGCGCCTTGCACGCCGCGTTCGCCAGGTTGAGCGCGTCGCGCGTGCGCTGCAGTGACAGGTAGCACTCCACCAGGCCTGCGCCACACACACACACACCAACACATACATTCATTTACACAGCAGCAACAACAACAACAAGCGCCATTCGCCACTAAGTGGCGGCGATGTCATCACGGCGCTTGTGCCAGGCCGCGTGCACTTTGAAGGCCACGTGAAGTGTCGAACGCCCGCTGGCAGGAGGTCACGGGACATACCCAGGTGCCATGGGTTGACTTGACCGAGATGACTGGGCCATGCACCACCTGTGCCCCCTACTGTGCCAATTTACACACACACTCATTCCTTCTTTAATTCACACACACACATTAATTTACATATAAAAAACACGTATTTATTTACACACACACACTCATTTATACACACACACACATTTATTTACACACACAATGACAAACATCCACGTATAGCCTTAAGCAGGCCGGCACGGTACATGAGGGGCCGGGTGGCCAACACCACGCCCGACCGCCTTTGTCTCCCTCGGTGGCAATGTTTACTACACACTCGCACGAGGTACACTCGCACCAGGTACACGCGCACCAGGTACGCGCGCACCAGGTACACCACGCGCACCAGGTACACCACGTGCACCAGGTACACCACGTGCACCAGGTACACCACGCGCACCAGGTACACCACGCGCACCAGGTACGTGCGCACCAGGTACACCACGCGCACCAGGTACACCACGCGCACCAGGTACGCGCGCACCAGGTACACCACGCGCACCAGGTACACCACGCGCACCAGGTACACCACGCGCACCAGGTACACCACGCGCACCAGGTTCACCACGCGCACCAGGTACACCACGCGCACCAGGTACACCACGCGCACCAGGTACACCACGCGCACCAGGTACACCACGCGCACCAGGTACACCACGCGCACCAGGTACACCACGCGCACCAGGTACACCACGCGCACCAGGTACACCACGTGCACCAGGTACATCACGTGCACCAGGTACACCACGCGCACCAGGTACACCACGCGCACCAGGTACACCACGCGCACCAGGTACACCACGCGCACCAGGTACACCACGCGCACCAGGTACACCACGCGCACCAGGTACACCACGTGCACCAGGTACATCACGTGCACCAGGTACACCACGCGCACCAGGTACACCACGCGCACCAGGTACACCACGCGCACCAGGTACACCACGCGCACCAGGTACGCGCGCACCAGGTACACCACGCGCACCAGGTACACCACGCGCACCAGGTACACCACGCGCACCAGGTACGCGCGCACCAGGTACACCACGCGCACCAGGTACACCACGCGCACCAGGTACACCACGCGCACCAGGTACACCACGTGCACCAGGTACACCACGTGCACCAGGTACGCGCGCACCAGGTACACCACGCGCACCAGGTACACCACGTGCACCAGGTACACCACGCGCACCAGGTACACCACGCGCACCAGGTACACCACGCGCACCAGGTACACCACGCGCACCAGGTACACCACGCGCACCAGGTACACCACGCGCACCAGGTACACCACACGCACCAGGTACACCACGCGCACCAGGTACACCACGTGCACCAGGTACACCACGCGCACCAGGTACACCACGTGCACCAGGTACACCACGCGCACCAGGTACACCACGCGCACCAGGTACACCACGCGCACCAGGTACACCACGCGCACCAGGTACACCACGTGCACCAGGTACACGCGCACGCGCACCCTCGTAGCAGTCGAGGCGGTTGGGCGCGAGCCGCTGAGCCTCGCGGAAATGCAGCACGGCCTCGTGCAGCTTGCCCATGGCGCGCAGCGCGGAGCCTTTGAGCAGCAGCGCCTGCACGCAGCCCCCGTTGAGCTGGATCGCCTTTGCTGCCAGGTACACGGCGCGCGTGTGCTTCTTCGTCTTGTAGCAGTAGTAGCTGCCGAGGGGGTGGGGGCGGCCACACCAGTGTTAAATGCGGCCGGCAGTCTCGCTCCCCTCTCCCCCCCCCCCCCCGCCTTCTTACCTCGCTTCTCTCATCTCTCTTCTCTACGCTCCTTCTCGCTCTCCGTTTTCACAGTCCCAGGTTGCCACTCTCCGTTCCCCCCCCACTCCTCCTCCCTGTGCTCCATCGCGGCTCCGTTGCTTCTCGCTCCTAGCCCCTCTGCACTGGAATGGAACTCCCTTCTCGGCATCGAACGGTCACCTCGCTCTCACTATCTTCCACTCCTCCTTAAAGCCCCATCTGTCCTCACTCGCCCGCCCGCCCTTCCTCATCTTCACCTTCCCCGCGACGTCACCGACACCCTTCCCCGTCTCCACGGTCATCCTCCATCGCCTCGCTCACCCCGTCGTCTTCACCTCCCTTTCCTCTCGCGCATCATCAGCGTCCTCATATTTATAACATCCACCGCGCCCGTTGCATCTCGGCACATGCCACAGGATATTTTTGTACCATCGTTAAATCACCGGTCAAAGCGCTTTATAAATGTAGTCAAGTACAGCGAGCCCGTTCCCCATCTTTCTATCGCTCTGTTGCGCCGAGACGGGCACCCACCCCATGACGACCCAGGGCTCCGCCTGCTGGTCCGAGATGCCGAAGAGTCTCACTCCCAGCTTCTCCAGCTCCTCCAAGCGACGTTCCTTGGCCAGGAGGTACCCATAGAGGTCTAAGCCTGGACGCACGCACGCACGCGCACACACACACACACAACGACGGCCGTCATTCGCCACTTAATGGCGGTTGACGTCACTGCCGTGGTTGTACCGGACTGAGATGCCCTTTAACACCAATGTGTCGGAGGCTCTCGCTGCCAGGTCACGGAACCCAACCAGGTGCCACGGTGACTGAGAGATGCGCCATGTCACCACGGCGCTTGTGCCAGGCTGGGTGCACTTTGAGGCAACGTGAAGTGTCGAAGGCCCGCTGGCCGGAGGTCACGGGACACACCCAGCAGGTGCCACGGGTTGACTGAATGAGATGACTGGCCGATGCACCACTTATGCCCCCTACTGCACCAACTTGTTGCGTTTTAGCCGCCCGGCGCTCCGCTCGTTGTTGTGAGCGTCGCTCCTCTGCCCTTGGCTCTTGTTGGAGGGCGACTGCCTCCAACTGCCCAGTAGCAGCAGCGTCCTTCACGAGCCTCCTTCACAGAGGCCGATCTTAACACCGCTGGTACCGGTCATTGGCAAGTCCACTCAGATCTTGGATCTCCAGCACCATATCAGCCCATCTCTTCTCTAGCCCATGCAGCGCCCATTTGATCCCCTCTAATCCAAGTTTGCTCTCCGGCACACGCGGGCACACACACTGCTAGCGACCAGAGTTCCCAATAGGCATTTCTTCACCTCGCGGCACGAGACCGATGCCGCAACAACTGAACCGAAACAATGAACGCCGCTTGCGTTGGCAAACAACCGCTTAGGCTGTGGTTGAGCCGGCTGTTAATGCACGATCACAATAACACTGGGAGATCGCAAGAGGAACCCCTGGATAAGAAAAGCAAGTGGGCTTGGTCAGGATGCATCTCTGGAAGGCACATACGTGTGTAGGTATGCAGGAACTTATTTCGCATGGTACGTAGCCAACCGTGCTAATCGGAGGTGCCGGGGAAGGGCAACAAACTAAATCCAAAAAGCAGTTCTAAAGAAATGGGTCTCAGTGTGAGTCTATGGGTCTCTGTGCAAGTCTATCTAAGTGTGCATTTTGAACTTCTTTCGCACCGTACGTAGCCAACCGTGCTAATCGGAGGTGCGTGGGAAGGACAACAAACTAAACACAAAAATCAGTTCCAAAGAAATGAGTTTTCAATTGAAATTTAAAAGTTCATAGCTCCAGTGGCTTCCTCATATCGGAAGGAAGAGAGCGTTCCAGACGGGCGCAAGAGGCACATCTGAAAGCGCGCGATGCGCCCATCGTCTTTGTCCGTCGGTTCGCCAATGGCACGATGCCCGAGATGGGAGCGGCGACCGAAAGGGGGAATTGCGCCGGGGAGGATTTCCAACCTGCGGCGACGGGAGCGATGCAATCGGCTAGCGCGCTCAGTTTGATCGGTGGTTCGCTACGCCGCAAGGCCAGCGAGAGACGGGGCGTAGGGGACGACGCGGGAGCCGCCGCCGACGACGCCGGTGGGGGAGGCTCACTTTTGATGAGGTACGGGTCGAGGATCTGCGCTTGTTGGAATCGCGCGATGGCGTTCTTCTTGTCTCCACTGCGGAAGTACGTGCGCGCCAGGCTCGTGAGCAGATCCACGTTGTCCTTGAGGAGCATGCGCTTGTCCAGAGAGCTTGCGGTCAGGCGAGACAAGAAAAAAACACACAAAGAAAAAGATCCCCCCCGCCCCCATTTAGCCTCAATAGCCTGTTGGAGCAAGAGCTGTTAGAGAGCACCAAAGACAAAGATCCCCCGTATAGCCTGCATAGACTGTTGGGGCAAGTGCCATTCGCAGGCACCTATGAAGGCAAGAACAGCACACGAGGGTGTGGGCCGCCTTTGTCTCCCAAGTGGCGACGTTTACACACCGCAACAGGTACTATTTTTTAAGCTGAGTCGACCTAGGGGAGGCCTAGGACTGGTTCAGATATTCGTCACTGGTGTTGGCCATGAGCAAGAATTGAACCCTGGCCACCAAGCTCGTAGCACAGCACTAACTGCTACACTACCGCTCCCCACACAAAGACAAAGATCCCACATATAGGCTGAACAGACTGTTGGGGCAAGTGCCATTAGCAGGCACCTATGAAGGCCGGCACGGCACACGAGGGGGTGGGTGGCCAGCATCACGCCCGGCCGCCTTTGTCTCCCCAGTGGCGATGTTAACACACTGCACCAGGCACTTATTTGAGGCTGAGTCGACTCAGGGGAGGCCCAGGACCGGTTCGGATAATCGTCACCGGCGTTGGCCGTGAGTGGGAATCAAACTCCAAGTTGCCGGGGTTCAGAGTGCACCGCGCCAGCCGTGACACTACCACACGTACACACACGTGCGTGTACGTGCGCTCGTGTGTGGGCACGCGAATATGCGCGCGTGGACGTGTGCGGACGTGCGAGCGCGAGCGGGCACCAGAAGGTGGTGATGGCTCGCGGGTAGTCGCGCGCGTAGGCGAACGCGTACGCCTTGATCCACATGGAGAGCCACTCGAGCGAGGGCATGGCCTGCAGCGTGTTGACCGTGAGCGACGCCACCTCCGCGCCCTTCACCGACAGCGACAGCAGGCCTGCTCCACGCACACACGCACGGCGGAGGAGACGACGGCGTCGCGTCAAGCGCTACCCGATAACGGCAACCCCCAACGTCGCGACTCCACTCGCCCTACGTCGGCGCACGATGGCAGCCCCCCCCCCCCCTTCCCCCCTCCATAGTACGCTACGAAGACGAAGATCCCCCACCCCCCCTCCCCCCCCCGTGTAGCCTGAACAGACTGTTGGGGCGAGTGCTGTTAGCGAGTCGCAGCACCTGTGAAGGCGGGCACGGCACACGAGGGGGTGGTTGGCCAGCACCACGCCCGGCCGCCTTTGTCTCCCCAGTGGCGATGTTTACAGACCGCACCAGGTACTCATTTGAGGCCGAGTCGACTTAGGGGAGGCCCAGGACCGCTTCAGATAATTGCCGCTGGAGTTGGCCGTGAGCGAGAATCGAATTCGAGTTCTGCCGGGTTCGTAGTGCGGCGCGCTACCTGCTACACTACCTCTTACACACACACACATACACACAAAGCATGGCACCCCAAACATCAGTCTGTTGGTTGCGTAACTCCGCAACCAACAATCCTCCGCCGCAAAGCCAGACGCGCGCACGCACCGCCACCGCGACCCCACCACCTACTACTACTCATCAACGCCCCCCACGCTCGCTCTAGGCCACTCTGCAACGCAAATCTCCCTTAACCACCGCCTAGAACATCGCTAGCTTGTTGTAGGCGTCGCATGCGTGCAGGTGCGAAGGCCCCTTTCAGCACCTAGAGACCTGCCACGCAAGCGCGAGGCGCGACGGAAACAGCGAACGGCGACTTGCTTGATCGATGCGCGCCGCGTCACGTGGACAGTCATACCCAGCCCCACACGGCACCCACCCAGGATGGCCTCCAGGGCTAATGGACACTGCCGCAGCACCTCCTTGTAGCAGGTGATGGCCGACCGCTCCTGCCCGGTCTTGCGATAGAGCCCCGCGAGGGTCATGTTGATCTGAGCACACGGGGTGAACGCACACGACAGACAAAGATTCCACCCCCCACCCCGTGTAACCTCAACAGACTTTTGGGGCAAGCGCCGTTCGCAAGCAGCACCTGCGAAGGCCGGCACGGCACACGAAGGGGGTTGGTGTGGCCAGGACCGCGCCCGGCCGACTTTTGCCTCCCAAGTGCCGATGTTCAGATGCCGCACCAGGTTACTCATTTGACGCCGAGTCGACCGAAAGGAGGCCCCAGAATCAGTTCAGATACTCGTCACCGACGTTGCCTGCGAGTGGGGATTCGAACACGGGTCGCCGGGTCCGTAGCGCAGCGCGCTAACGAACGTGAACAGATCCGGCACCGCACACTTGTGCATCGTCACGGTCAATCGGCGTACGTCCGTTGAACTTTTTTCGCTCCGTACGTAGCCGATCGTGCGAATCGGGATGTACGGTGAACGTGCCGAGCCCATAAGACAGTCGCGATCAGCAACACAAAAACAAAGTTGGGATTGTAAATTTAAGTTGACGAGCTTCTTAAATTGATTAGTAGAGTGTTGTATACTCAACTATTTAACTATTTTTCAACGGTTTTACTTAACTTGATTCCTCTGTTTGTCTGGGTCAAATCTTGTAATACAAATTTCGTCCACTTCCCATTGTCCAATCAATTCCACATTTTGCACGCGTACTCAGATCCGGTGACAATGCATGCCTGTATCAAAATCGGCATCAATTAATTCGCTACTTTAAAGCAATTTACATTTTGTATGGACGCCTTATTATTAGTTATATATATTTGTGTTGGTCAAAAACGCCGCGGTCCCTAAACTGTGGAATCGGCTCGCACAAAACGCAGGCGCCGCGTGTTTCAGTAGCCATTGACGTACTTTTCGCCCGTGAGTTAAACGAAGTTGTTAATAATACCGGTTTTTAAAAAAAAACTTTTTTTTAACGAGTTTATTACTTGACCAGGTGAGGCCCACTGAGCTATATGGATCTTTTTAGAAGCAACCGGGCCACAAATGATAGCTCAATTAAGTGGATTATCGTCATGTGGAGATTACGGCAGCCGAATACCCTAAACGCGTGACGTTGATTCTAAACGTGGAGGACCTGGAGAAATATCCACGCGACCACAGGGAGAACACGCAAACTCGAAATATACAGGCAGCAGGTGCGGGATCGAACCCACGACCTCCTGTATACCAAGCGAGGTCGTTAACATCTGGCCAACGAGGCGCCCCCCCCACACATACACGTGTATGTGTGTGGGGGGCGCAACGCAGCGATTTGACACAGTGGGGGGCACGGTCATTTCGGGAACCAACCCACAATGCCTTGGGTCTGTTCCGGGACTTCCTACCAGCAGCGAGCATTCCACACTTCACACGAAAGCCTCAACGCGCGCCTAGCCCGCCACAAGCTCCGCCACTTGGTGGCAAATTGCGGCCGTTCTTGATGACGTGCGTGTGCGCACGGGAATGTGTGTGCGCGCGTTCGAGTGTATGTGCACGGTGTGTAGTATGTGCGTGGTGTGTGCGTGGTGCGTGTGGTGTGTGCGTGGTGCGTGTGGTGTGTGCACGGTGCGTGCGTGGTGCGTGTGTGGTGTGTGCGTGGGTGGTGTGTGTGTGGTGCGTGTGTGGTGTGTGCGTGGGTGGTGTGTGCGTGGTGCGTGTGTGGTGTGTGCACAGTGTGTGCACGGTGCGTGTGTGGTGTGTGTGTGGGTGGGGTGTGCGTGGTGTGTGTGGTGTGTGTGTTGTGGTGTGTGTGTGGTGCGCGTTGTTGTGTGTGCGTGGTGTGTGTGTGCGTGGTGTGTGTGTGTGGTGTGTGTGTGGTGTGTGTGGTGTGTGTGTGGTGTGCGTGTGGTGCGCGTGTGGTGCGCGGTGTGTGTGTGGTGTGTGTGTGGTGTGTGTGTGGTGTGTGTGTGGTGGGTTTGGGGTGTGTGTTGTGGTGTGTGTGCGGTGCGTGTGCGGTGCGTGTGCGGTGTGTGTGCGGTGTGTGTGCGGTGTGTGTGTGGTGTGTGTGTGGTGTGTGTGGTGTGTGTGGTGTGTGTGTGGTGTGTGTGTGGTGTGTGTGTGGTGTGTGTACACGGTGTGTGTGTGGTGTGTGTACACGGTGTGTGTGTGGTGTGTGTGTGGTGTGTACACGGTGTGTACACGGTGTGTACACGGTGTGTACACGGTGTGTGTGTGGTGTGCTCATGCCTTGGGCGTGCGCTGCTTGGCAGGCACCGTGTCCAGCACGGCGATGGCGTCCTTATCTTGACGCAGGTTCATGTAGCAATCGGCCAGCTTGTATTTCACCTCCAGCTCTGACGGAAGCCCCTACACACACACATACAGCGCACGCGACTATAGCGCACCCAAAGACAAATATTCCCCGTGTAGCCGTAACAGACTGTGGGGCAAGTGCTGTTAGCGAGCGCCTATGAAGGCCGGCATGGCACACGAAAGGGCTGGGTGGCCAGCACCACGCCCGGCCGCCTTTGTCTCCCCACCGCACCATGTACTCATCTGAGGCCGAGTCAACTTAGCGGAGGCCCAGAACCGACTCGGAAAATCGTCACTGGTGGTGGCTGTGAGCGGGAATCGAACTCGGGTCGCCGTGTATACAGGCGGTCCCCACGGCTTTTACGACACAATTCGTACCTGCAAACCCCGTCGTCGCAAATCGGACTGTCGTGAATCGGACCCTATTTAACGGTGATTCATCACTTGAGAATAACAAAATCTCCAAGCCAAAAGTCGCAACGGAAAACCGGACCGTTGCTGTCCAAGTGTGTTGCAGAGTCGTGTCGGAAGATGCGTCGTAAATCAAGTTTCTGCTTCGCAAATCGATCCATGGTGTCATTATATAAACGTCGTAGGCCGGAGACCGCCTGTGCACCCCCCCCCGCCGCCCCGTTTCAGCCTTAACAGACTGTTCGGGCAAGTGCTGTCAGCGAGCAGCTACACACACACACAGACAAACAACTTGTGGTGCAGACGGAGGTCGCGGTGGTAGCGTAGACATCAGCTGGTGGTACTTCACCTTTTTTTGTGGTACAGTGGTAGCGACGGTGGGGATGCGATGATGGGAGCCGGCAGTAGAGCGGCGTTCATGTTAGGGTGGATGTCTGGTGGAGAGAGTTCTCCTGTGGCGGGGGGGATGCGGTGGCGGTGCCGATGGGGGCGGTGGTATTTTATCCGTGGTGGTGTCGGGGGGGGGGAGATGGTAAGTGGAATCCGTGACGGTGGTGATGTCTGCTGGCGATCTTTCACCTGTGGCGGTGGGGGAGCTGCGGCCCCGGATCGAACCCGTACACACTTGCCGAGGAACTTCTTCTGCTGCAGCGCCTGGCGGTAGGTGGCCTCCGCCTTGCGGAATTCGCGCTCGGCGTGCAGCGCGTCCGCGTGGTACACCAGCAGTTGGTAGTGCGCGCCGGGGGACAGCAGCTCGCTGCGATGGGGACACACACGGAGACACGGGGTGACACAGGGACACACACACGGAGACAGGCAACCGCGTGATACACCAGCAGTTGGAAGTGCGCGCCGGGGGACAGCAGCTCGCTGCGATCGGGACACACACGGAGACACGGGGTGACACAGGGACACACACACGGAGAGACGGGGTGACACAGGGACACACACACGGAGACACGGGGTGACACGTACACACACACAGAGACGGGCAACCGGGTGGTACACCAGCAGCTGGTAGTGCGCGCTGGGAGACAGCAGCTCGCTGTGGTGGGGACACACACGGAGACACGGGGTGACACAGGGACACACACACGGAGACACGGGGTGACACGGACACACACACAGAGACGGGCAACCGCGTGGTACACCAGCAGCTGGTAGTGCACGTCGGGAGATAGCAGCTCGCTGTGGTGGGGACACACACGGAGACACAGGGTGACACGGACACACACACATGGAGACACGGGGTGACACAGGGACACACATACGGAGACATGGTGTGACACAGGGACACACATACGGAGACACGGGGTGACACAGGGGCACACATACGGAGACATGGTGTGACACAGAGACACACGCACGGAGACACGGGGTGACACAGGGACACACATACGGAGACACGGGGTGACACAGGGACACACATACGGAGACACGGGGTGACACAGGGACACACACATGGAGACATGGTGTGACACAGGGACACACACACGGAGAGACGGGGTGACACGGACACACACACAGAGGCAGGCAACCGGGTGGTACACCAGCAGCTGGTAGTGCACGCCGAAAGAGAAAGGAGGTCCTTGCGGTGGGGACACACGCGGAGACACGGCGTGACACAGGGACAAAGACAAAGATCCCCCGTATAGTCTTTAACAGACTGTAGGGGCAAGTGCTGTTAGCGAGTAGCACCTACTAAGGCCGGAACGGCACACGAGGGGGGTGGGTGGCCAGCACCACGCCCGGCCGCCTTTGTCTCCCCAGTGGCGATGTTTACTACACACTGCACCAGGTACTCATTTGAGGCCGAGTTGACATATTCAGAGTGGAGGGTGGACACAATCACGTGGTTTACGGGAGGCTTGAGCCAATTTCGAAATATATTTGATCAACTTTGTTTTTTTTATTGTACAAGACTGTTTTACATTGCCGTAGTATAATCGTAGATGAGCATGGGTTGTTGTCGCTGAACGTGATGAGCAGGGCTGTGTGCAGTACACGTGTCCTGTAGTACAACGTTGACAGTATGTAGTGGTAGTAGTGTGTGTGGAGTGTTAATAGAGGCTCGTACGGGTTGTTGTCGCTGAACGTGATGAGGCTGTGTGCAGTACACGTGTCCTGTAGCACAACGTTGACAGTATGTAGTAGTGGTAGTAGTGTGTGTGGAGTGTTAATAGAGGCTCGTACGGGTTGTTGTCACTGAACGTGATGAGGCTGTGTGCAGTACACGTGTCCTGTAGCACAACGTTGACAGTATGTAGTAGTGGTAGTAGTGTGTGTGGAGTGTTAATAGAGGCTCGTACGGGTTGTTGTCACTGAACGTGATGAGGCTGTGTGTAGTACACGTGTCCTGTAGTACAACGTTGACAGTATGTAGTGGTAGTGTGTGTGGAGTGTTAATAGAGGCTTGTACGGGTTGTTGTCGCTGAACGTGATGAGCAGGGCTGTGTGCAGTACACGTGTCCTGTAGTACAACGTTGACAGTATGTAGTAGTAGTGTGTGTGGAGTGTTAAATAAGGCTCGTACGGGTTGTTGTCGCTGAACGTGATGAGGCTGTGTGTAGTACACGTGTCCTGTAGAACAACGTTGACAGTATGTAGTGGTAGTAGTGTGTGTGGAGTGTTAATAGAGGCTCGTACGGGTTGTTGTCATTGAACGTGATGAGGCTGTGTGTAGTACACATGTCCTGTAGTACAACGTTGACAGTATGTAGTAGTGGTAGTAGTGTGTGTGGAGCGTTAATAGAGGCTCGTACGGGTTGTTGTCGCTGAACGTGATGAGCAGGGCTGTGTGCAGTACACGTGTCCTGTAGTACAACGTTGACAGTATGTAGTAGTAGTGGTGGTAGTAATGGTAGTAGTGTGTGTGGAGTGTTAATTAATAGAGGCTCGTACGGGTTGTTGTGGCTGAACGTGATGAGCAGGGCTGTGTGTAGTAGACGTGTCCTGTAGTACAACGTTGACAGTATGTAGTGGTAGTAGTGGTAGTAGTGTGTGTGGAGTGTTAATAGAGGCTCGTACGGGTTGTTGTCGCTAAACGTGATGAGGCTGTGTGTAGTACACGTGTCCTGTAGTACAACATTCACAGTATGTAGTGGTAGTAGTGTGTGTGTGAGTGTTAATAGAGGCTCGTACGGGTTGTTGAAGCTGAACGTGATGAGGCTGTGTGTAGTACACGTGTCCTGTAGTACAACGTTGACAGTATGTAGTGGTAGTAGTGGTAGTAGTGTGTGTGGAGTGTTAATAGGGGCTCGTACGGGTTGTTGTCGCTAAACGTGATGAGGCTGTGTGTAGTACACGTGTCCTGTAGTACAACATTCACAGTATGTAGTGGTAGTAGTAGTGGTTGTAGTGTGTGCAGTGTTAATAGAGGCTCGTATGGGTTGTTGTTGTTGTTGCTGAACGTGATGAGGCTGTGTGCAGTACACGTGTCCTGTAGTACGTTGACAGTATGTAGTAGTAGTAGTGTGTGAGTGTTAATAGAGGCTCGTACGGGTTGTTGTCGCTGAATTAGATGAGCAGGGCTGTGTGCAGTACACGTGTCCTGTAGTACAACGTTGACAGTATGTAGTAGTAGTAGTAATGGTAGTAGTGTGTGCGGAGTGTTAATTAATAGAGGCTCGTACGGGTTGTTGTCGCTGAACGTGATGAGGCTGTGTTGTACACGTGTCCTGTAGTACGTTGACAGTATGTAGTAGTAGTAGTGTGTGGAGTGTTAATAGAGGCCCGTACGGGTTGTAGCTGAACTAGATGAGCAGGGCTGTGTGCAGTACACGTGTCCTGTAGTACAACGTTGACAGTATGTAGTAGTAGTGGTAGTAGTAGTGTGTATGAGTGTTTATTAATAGAGGCTCGTACGGGTTGTTGTCGCTGAACGTGATGAGGCTGTGTGTAGTACACGTGTCCTGTAGTACAACGTTCACAGTATGTAGTAGTGGTGGTAGTAGTAGTGGTAGTAGTGTGTGTGGAGTGTTAATAGAGGCTCGTACGGGTTGTTGTCGCTGAACGTGATGAGCAGGCTGCTCATGAGCCGCACGTTCGAGTGCAGGCCCGCAGCGTGCATCTCCCGCACGTAGTCGATCACGCTCATGGTGGTGGCGTCGGCTCCTGCTGCTCCTGCTCCTGCTGCTGATCCTGCTGCTCCTGCTCCTGCTGCTGCTCCTCCTGCTGCTCCTGCTGCTGCTCCTCCTGCTGCTCCTCCTGCTGCTCCTGCTGCTGCTCCTCCTGCTGCTCCTCCTGCTGCTCGTGCTGCTGCTCGTGCTCCTGCTGCTGCTCGTGCTCCTGCTGCTGCTCCTGCTGCTGCTCCTGCTGCTCCTGCTGCTCGTGCACCGCGGCGATACAGGGAATCGATACGCGCGTGCCGCGTGCCGTGCGTCTATAACTCGAACTTGATTGACGCCGGACGCCGGTGTTCAATTGTTGAGACGTCGTGGAAGGAAGTGGAGGGAGGGAGGACGGGAGGGCGAGCGGCTGAGACGACGCCGACGCAGCGGCGACTCCTGTGGCGCCTCGCACCCTACCCAAGATGGCGGCTCTGCCCGCTCTCGGGGTCCTTCACTACCGCCCCCCCCACCCACCGGCCCCCCCCACCCACTCACCCACCGGCCCCCACCACCCACTCACCAACCGGCCCCCCCCACCCACTCACCAACCGCCCCCCCCACCCACAATCTACCGACCCATGACCCCCTCACCCACCAACCGCGACTCCTCCCCCCCTACTGCCCCCCCCCCCGATCCAAGTCTCCACCGCCCCCACCCCCCCCGCTCCCTCACCCCCACCGCCCCCCAACACTCACCGCTCCCCCCCCCGCGACCCACCGCCACCACCGCTCCCCCCACCCCGCTCGCCACCCCGGGGTTCAATTATTCGGCGAGTTTTAGGTGTCCACCTCGCACAAGTGCCTGCGTGGTTTTGTTGTTTTTGAAAATTACGTTTACAGGGACTCCTCTACTTACGAACGCGTTAGGTTCCAGAAGGTCTGTTCATAAATCGATTCGTTCGTATGTCCAGTTGTATAATCTCCTGCAGATGCCACTGATTCTTCACGTTCTGCAGATGTAGATGCCACTGGTTCTTCACGTTCTGCAGATGTAGATGCCACTGGTTCTTCACATTCTGCAGATGTAGATGCCACTGGTTCTTCACGTTCTGCAGATGTAGATGCCACTGGTTCTTCACGTTCTGCAGATGTAGATGCCACTGGTTCTTCACGTTCTACCGATGTAAATGCCACTCTTTCTTCATGTTCTGCTGATGTAGATGCCACTGGTTCTTCATGTTCTCCAGATGTAGATGCCACTGGTTCTTCACGTTCTACAGATGTAGATGCCACTGGTTCTTCATGTTCTGCTGATGTAGATGCTACTGATTCTTCATGTTCTGCAGATGCCACTGGTTCTTCATGTTCTGCAGATGTAGATGCCACTGGTTCTTCACGGTCTGCAGATGTAGATGCCACTGGTTCTCCATGTTCTGCAGATGTAGATGCCACTGGTTCTTCAGGTTCTGTAGATGCCACTGGTTCTTCACGTTCTGTAGATGTAGATGCCACTGGTTCTTCACGGTCTGCCGATGTAGATACCACTGGTTCTTCATGTTCTGCAGATGTAGATGACACTAGTTCTTCATGTTCTGCTGTTGTTGATGCCACTGGTTCTTCACGTTCTGCAGACGTAGATGCCACTGGTTCTTCACGTTCTGCAGATGTAGATGCCACTGGTTCTTCATGGTCTGCTGATGTAGATACCACTGGTTCTTCACGTTCTGCAGATGTAGATGCCACTGGTTCTTCACGTTCTACAGATGTAGATGCCACTGGTTCTTCACGGTCTGCAGATGTAGATGCCACTGGTTCTCCATGTTCTGCAGATGTAGATGCCACTGGTTCTTCATGTTATGTAGATGCCACTGGTTCTTCACGTTCTGTAGATGTTAATGGTTCTTCACGGTCTGCAGATGTAGATGCCACTGGTTCTTCACGGTCTGCAGATGTAGATGCCACTGGTTCTTCATGTTCTGCAGATGTAGATGACACTGGTTCTTCATGTTCTGCTGATGTAGATGCCACTGGTTCTTCACGGTCTGCAGATGTAGATGCCATCACCGTCATCTATTGCGTGACGGTTGAACTTACGACTCTCGGTCTGAACGGGCAACTGGACATACGGACGGGTTTGTTCGTATCTCTGAAAGTTCGTAAGTCGAACGTTTTGAAGTAGAGGAGTCCCTGTGCTGTAACAAATATGGTGGTCCAGATGTCTCGTGACCCCCATGCATTGAGATTATTTAGATTATTTTGGTTCTGTAAATGCCCATTCGTATGCTCTGAAGAAGGGCCAATGTCTAAAACGTCGGCTATTATATTTTTTCCTTTTAAAGCCGCACACAGTGCTTGTGCGGTCACAGCCAACCCAACAGCGACATCATAAAATATTTTTAATACTTTTGATGTTTTAAGTCCGCTTAATATTACGAACACAATATTGAACAATGCTGTACGTTGAACTTATTTCGTGGCCAAACGTGAGTTGTACTATTAAACAAATTAAATGACATTCACTTTACCGATAAGCACACTTTGAAGACATTACTAGAATAGCGAAAAGTGGCCCTGTCCTCTAATTGCATGCAATTCTAAAAAAAAAATAAACCCCAAATAACTTTAGCATCCTGATTTTTTTAAAATAAGAACACCAAGCTGTACATGCACGACCCTTTGCAAATCCGATTTGTCATTTTTTTTAAACCACCTATTCTCGAAAGTTTGACATCGAAGTTAAATGTGCAATACATCCATAATAGTTTTTTTGGGTTAGATCGCGTAAATGTGTCGTGAAACCCGCCACCACCCGACACAGCCAATGTGTTTGTCACGTAAACAGAACAGCACACCGGTGTGTTGGAGAGCAAAGCCACAGCATTTACCATCTGAGTACGACGTTTCGCCAGTAATTACAACTAGCTTCATCAGGCGACAGCCAGATTTGTGGAGAAATCCTCCTGTTTCGTTCCTTAAATAGATGTTATCACATCTACCCCTCTATAACTAATGGGCTGTGTCGGGTGGAGGAGGGGTTAACGACACATATATTTACGCGATCTAACCCCTAAAAAAACCCCTGTATTATGGATATTGGTCGCGAAAGCTTCCTACCGGTTAAACTGTACAATTCATACCTGTCCACCCCTTATTACAGACCAATTCAGACCTTATTGTTCACCCCGTGCCCCTTATAAATCTCAACGTTCATCCTACAAAGTCCCATCACAAGGGAGAGAAACACAACACAAATCGAAAAAAAAACCAAATGTTTTTGCTCGTATTGAAATGGCTGTTACGCCTTATTAACCTGAAAACTCAATTACCCTGTACAAGAACACAAGGGTTAACCTACATGGGTTGACAACTATGAATTCACTTTAGTGGTCACCCCGTGCCCCTTATAAATCTCAACGTTCATCCTACAAAGTCCCATCACGAGAGAGAAACACAAAGAAATAGACCAAAAAACCCATTGAAACGGCTGTTTACGCCCTACGGACCCGAAAAACTCAATTACCCTGTACAAGATTGCGGGGATGGTAAAACCGTACGGGTTGACACGGCGTGGCAAAATTACTCCGGAAGTCTGAAAACACAGGCTTCTGTCAGGCGCTGCTTACACGCAGAGGGGATTTGTTAACTGGCAGCGCGCGCGCGAGATTTGAATTAAAAAAATTCAAACAATTTTTGTGCCACGTGACCGGCGATCGCACCAATAGGAGCGCGCGGCGGCTCAACAGCTGCTCGTGACGTCGGCCGTTCAAACAGCGAGCGCGCGCGGGAGAGATGGAGACGCGCGGTTCGGGAGCGGAGGAGGACGGTGAGGGTGGTGAGGGTGAGGGTGGTGGTGGTGGTGGTGATGATGATGGTGGTGATGATGGTTGTGATGGTGGTGAGGGTGGTGATGGCGAGGGTGGTGATGGGGTGGTGATGATGGTGGTGGGTGGGGGTGCTGATGGGGGTAGTGGGGGTTGTGATAATGGTGATGGTAGGGGTGGTAATGGTGGTTGACGGTGATGATGGGGGTGGTGATGATGGGGGTAGTGTTGATGGGGGTGGTGATAATGATAGGGGAGTAGTATTGATGAGGATGGTGATGGGGGTAGTGATGACGGTAGCGGTGATAATGGTCCTCTTTGTAAAGTTTGTGTTGATGGGCATGGTGCTGTTCATGTGCGTGGATGAACATCGGTGCTGCGTGCCAGAATCAAAATCTGCAATTAGCCTGCAGGAATCCTATGAGCTATGAAGCGCTTTTCAGCAGATGCTCAGTCGTTCACGGATGTCATAGTGTGACTGCAGCATGTGCATCCGTCGCCGCAAGCGTGCGCTGCATGTCTCCGTGAATCCACATCCCACTCTCCGCCTCCCTGCAGGTTTCACCGCACACGTGAAGGACAAGCGAAGCGGTGTCTGCGTGAGCCACGAGGAGCTGGGCTCACAACTCGAGCGCCTGGCGTCCTCGGGCTGTGTGGAGTTCCCGGACGTGTTCCACTCCCCGCACCTCTCCTATTACGAGCGCTTCAAGGTTTACCAGGACTACATACTAGGTGACCCGCGGCGGTAGCGCGCTCGCTGTGACTCCCAGACACGGCTGGGAACCCTTAATAGCGATCTCTTCTACCTTGCCTATCCTTGAAAACTATTGTTATTTTATTTTATCAATTTATTATTTTATTGTCATTCTACGTGACTTTACCGAATGAACCAAAGAAGATGAAAACTACTGTTACTCCCTGCACCTGCCCCCCACCCCCCCAGCTACGATCAGGCCTCGCACAGACCCCTATCACTACCCCAGCCCCTATCACTACCCCAGCCCCTATCACTACCCCAGCCCCGATCACTACCCCAGCCCCTATCAATACATCACTACCCCAACCCCTATCACTACCCCAGACCCCTATCACTAACCCAGACCCCTATCACTACCCCAGACCCCCATCACTACCCCAGACCCCTATCACTACCCCAACCCCTATCACTACCCCAGCCCCTATCACTACCCCAGACCCCTATCACTACCCCAACCCCTACCACTACCCTAACCCCTATCACTACCCCAACCCCCTATCACTACCCCAGCCCCTATCACTACCAGAGACCCCTATCACTACCCCAACCCCTATCACTACCCCAGCCCCTATCACTACCCCAGACCCCTATCACTACCCCAACCCCTGTCACTACCCCAACCCCTGTCACTACCCCAACCCCTATCACTACCCCAGCCCCTATCACTACCCCAACCCCTATCACTACCCCAACCCCTATCACTACCCCAGACCCCTATCACTACCCCAGCCCCTATCACTACCCCTACCACTACCCCAACCGTTATCACTACCCCACCCCTATCACTACCCCAGCCCCTATCACTACCCCAACCCCTGTCACTACCCCTACCCCTATCACTACCCCAACCCCTGTCACTACCCCTACCACTACCCCAAACCCCTATCGCTACCCCAACCCCTATCGCTACCCCAGCCCCTATCACTACTCCAACCTCTGATCACTACCCCAACCCCTATCACTACCCCAACCCCTATCACTACCTCAACCCCTAACACTACCCAAACCCCTATCACTACCCCAGCCCCAATCACTACCCCAGACCCCTATCACTACCCCAGACCCCGATCACTACCCCAGACCCCTATCACTACCCCAGACCCCTATCACTACCCCTATCACTACCCTAACCTCTATCGCTACCCCATCCCCTATCACTACCACTACCCCAACCCCTATCACTACCCTAACCCCTATCACTACCCTATCCTCTATCACTACCCCAGACCCCTATCACTACCCCAGACCCCTATCACTACCCCAACCCCTATCACTACCCCAGCCCCTATCACTACCCCAACCCCTATCACTACCCCAACCCCTATCACTACCCCAACCCCGATTACTGCCCCAGACCCCTATCACTACACTAACCCCTAGCACTACCCAACCCCTATCACTACCCCAACCCCTATCACCACCCCAACCCCTATCGCCACCCCAACCCCTATCGCTACCCCAGACCCCTATCACTAGCCCAGCCCCTATCACTACCCCAACCCCTATCACTACCCCAGCCCCTATCACTACCCCAGACCCCTATCACTACCCCAGACCCCTATCACTACCCCAGACCCCTATAACTACCCCAGACCCCTATCACTACCGCAACCCCTATCACTACCCCAGACCCCTATCAATACCCCAGCCCCTATCACTACCCGAGACCCCTATCACTACCGCAGCCCCGATCACTACCCCAGACCCCTATCACTACCCCTATCACTACCCAAACCCCTATCACTACCCCAACCCCTATCACTACCCCAACCCCTATCACTACCCCAACCCTTATCACTACTCCAACCCCTATCACTACCCCAGACCCCTATCACTACCCCAACCCCTATCACTACCCCAACCACTCCTTAACCACTCCCACCTGTACCTTCTGTCACGATAACTACACCACCACTTTCCATAACCCCACTCGTTATTTTAAACATTGTCATCTTCCGTGCAATTGTACAACCGTTGTAAAGCGGTTTCTATTAAGGCCGTATGTACACATGTGCAAGATAATGTGGAGTTTCCCTCTTCCAGGTTGTGAGAGGCACCAACTGCACAGCAACAGATTTACAACTTCACTGGAAAAAAACAGCTAGTGGTGGAATAAACTTTACAGCACGGTAGCGTCATCGGATGGTTCTAGAACAAGTTTCGACGTGAATCTCATTCGCGCTGTTTGTTCACGAAGCCCGTGCATCAACTCCGATTCGTACGGTTGGCTATGTACGGGGTGAAAGAAGTTCCAACATGGATACGTACTGCACATGGACTACTAACACTGCACCTCCGATGAGCACAGTTGGCTGCGTACGGTGCAAAAGAAGTTCAAGTTGAAAATATATTTCCGTTTATTTCTCCGCTCGTACTCTTCCAATGGAGTTGTAAATCCTCCAGTTTCTACTCGTAGATGAAAACACATACACACGGTGCAACTGGTATTGGCCAAACGTCCCACTGCTGAAAAATTACCTGCAGATTACTCAATTGGGATCACGCATAGCAGCAGCAGCAAGTCACTTCTGAATAAGAGCTGTATAGCTCAGTGGGCCTTGCCTGATTAAAATAAAAGAAACGGTTCGGCTTATCAATCGTTTCGGCATGACGGACGACGTGTTTGCGGCAGGCGACTGCCGCCCGTCCGAGGTGCGGAGCTTCATGGGCGAGTACCTGGAGGAGACTGTGGAGTCGTGCGGGTGGAGCGCCGTGTGGAGGACCGGAGCCTTCGACATCCTCGTGGAGGTGAGGAGCGGTGGCGGGGGGTCCGAACGAAGCAACTTTATTGCCCGCAACCGCTTTGTCTGCATCGGTGCGAGCGGTTGCTCAACAAGGACGCGTCTGGCACGGCCAAGAGGCCATGGCCCGCTCTCGACATTTCGGGACAATCGTTGCCGGCGATCGTCACCGGAAATGCATTCACCGTGAGAAACTGTGACAGATTGGGTGGGCAAGGGAATGGCGTTGTCTTACCAATCAAATCAAGCCTTGATGTATGCTGAAAAATGATTGGTCTAGAGCAGTGGTTCTTCTTAACCTGGGGTGCACGCCGCACCCCCTGGGGGTGTGAGATACCCTTTCTGGGGGTTGCGAGACATGGCCAGGCTTCTTTTGAACGTAAATCATCGAAACACAAATTAAGCACGGGCACGTAAGTGTTGCGGCGCAATCCACGACTCCGAAGCAGTTGCGGTTAGGGGCTCGTTTATTAAGGGCTTACGCCAAGTTTGTTAAGGGCTTACGCCGAGCCAAAACCCCCCCCCTAGCCGATAAGTCCCCAGGGGACAGGGGACTGTGATCCCTACTACCCCGGCTAACTCGGCTCTCCTCCCTGCCCCGGGCCGGGACTACCCCAACCTCGGCCGGTCGGGCGGAGTAACCTCCCCTAGCCTCGGGCGAGGATCAACTACCCTGAGTCCCCACTCCTTCCCCCGACGAACCCCGGTTACATCCCGGGTCCCCCTTTAAATACTCTCCTGGGGCATGACGTCACCGTCCCCCAGGGTCTGCCTGACGTCATGTTCTGCGACGCCACTCTCTCCGAGGGCGAGCGTGACGTGACGTCACCCGGTACTCCCCTACGTAAGTACAACTTTCATGGTTTTATCAAACCCTCTTGTGTGTTTATTAATATTGTAATTGTATTTAACGATTGAGAAGCAAAGGGGTGTGCAAGGCTGCAGTAAAGATTAAGAACCACACTGGTCTCGAGACTGTAAATGGAGTTCTCTAGCCAATGAAAGCAATCCTTGATGTATGCTGAACAATGATTGATCTAGAGACTGTAAATTAACATGTTGATTAGGGATGGGGTAGGCCTGTTGTTAACTACCTCGCCTGGTATATAGGAGGTCGTGTGTTCGATCCCGACCCTGACACCTGTTGTATATTTGGAGTTTGCGTGTTCTCTCCCCTTCGTTTAGAGTATTTGGCTGCTATACATTTCCACGTGATGATGATGAGCCACTTCGTTGAGCTATCATTTGTTGCCAGGTCGCTTCTGAAAAAGAGCCGTATAGCTCAGTGGGGCCTTACCTGGTAAAAGAAAAAAGTTGTTTATCGTGAACGTAGTTTAAAATAGGTATAAAGCTGGAGACCTTGAAAAATAGCTCGGTGGCACACGATAGCAATTTTATACCATGTCCTTGATTTGGTGGGGGAGATAATTAAATGTTTTTATCTTAGCTGTGGAAGCCATACGTCCACGTCTAATACCAGGGACAGCGCCAGCCGGGTTGTACGTGCGCACGTTGAACTTCTTTCGCACCGTACGTAGCCAACCGCGCTCATCGAAGGTTGCGGTTGTTTTGACCCCGCTGGAGCTTAGGCGTTCTATTGGCCTGAGAGTTTGGCGAATCGCAGACGCATCCTCCTCCCACGCCCTCTCTCACAGGTACAGGACGTCTACTTTGACGACCTCAAGGCGCTGGTGTCCCTGGCCGAGCCGTTGCTGATTGAGTACTCCGCCCCGGCGGCGTCGGCGGCGTCGGCGGCGTCGGCGGCGTGCGGTTCCCCGTGCCGTGCCGGCACCCCGGAGGCCACGGCCGCCGCGCCGGCCCCCGCTCCCCCGCCGTGTCGCGGTGAGGCCGAGCAGATCCTGGAGCGGTCTGGCGGGCGCGTGAACCTGCGCGAGCTCTGGGTGGTGTACGACGATTCGGGCAGGCTGGATCGCACGGCGCTCGCCATCGAGCACGTCCGGTGAGCGCCCACGCAACTGGCCTCGATGAACCCTTTCCCGTTGCGATGACGTACGCGTACCGCAGCGTTTTTTCTTCCGATTTCGCTCCGATGATGCACGATTCCGTTCCGATGACGTGTGCGTACGTGTATGTCTTCGAAACGGAACCGGAAGAACAAATCGACTAACTTTATCGATACCGAGGCTCCCACAATGCCACGCGGGAGGGCGTGTGGCACGGTTTGGCGCCAGCTATCGTAGAGCGAGGCGGTCGTGTCGCCTACGGTTCTCTGCGGTGACTAACGACGTCTTTAGACACAGTGGCGCTACTACGCCTCTCTAAATAAAATGAACGCTGAGCCGATTGCGCGTTCCGATATTCAGCGGTGAAACGGGACACCCACCCCGATATTCAGCGGTGAAACGGGACACCCACCCCGATGTTCAGCGGTGAAACGGGACACCCACCCCGATGTTCAGCGGTGAAATGGGACACCCACCCCGATGTTCAGCGGTGAAACGGGACACTCACCCCGATGTTCAGCGGTGAAACGGGACACGCACCCACCCTGCAACTTGCAGACGTCTCGGAACGGGAAAGGGTTAAAGCTGTCTGAGATTAAACCCAGGGCTCAATTTCAAGCAGATGTGTCCGTACCCGGCACACCACATCGAGTAAACTTCTCGCTCTGGCTGTGGTCGCTTTCCACCTTTTCAAGTCTTCCAGCGACCCGGGGTCCCAGCCGAGTGTGTTAGCGTTGGTTTGCACTCTCACTTCTCCAAGAGCAGGTGCGAGCAAATGTTTGAACAGTCCTTTATGGATATTCTTTGAGTCTTTTGGTAAAGTCATGTAGATAGGTTCAAAAATGTATCAAATAAAAACTAGGACCGTCATCAGGTAGAAAAAAGCGATGGGAACAATGTAGTTTTTTTTTATTTTATAATTTTTTATAACCTATCTACGTGACTTTACCGAAAGACCCAAGACTATGAATTCCCGCAGTCATGAAAGCTTTCAGTCAAGATTTAGTCTTTTATGGAAGCCACTTTTTTAAGGTTTGGCCCAATTCCAAACTTTTTGAATCACGGCTGGAGAAAGTTCTGAGTCTCAAGTCTCTCCTTCAGGAGGGTACTGCTACTCATTGGCATGGAATTGGCCAATTCCATGAATGAGTGTTTGGCTTCGTGTGAGAAGAATCAGAATATGCATTTACACTGGAGGAATCTGATGAGCTATAAAGCTCTTTTTCACAGATGTCCAGTAGAGGCACGGGGTCAGAATGTTACAACAACAAACGGCACAAAACACGATAGGAGTGCAAAGTATAGGGAAGGTAAACAAATGACTTACAAAATATATATACATATAAAACTAAAGTTATTTTATAAATCCTCTCTGGTAAAGCCCACTGAGCCGTTAGCTTATTTTTCAGAAGCGACCTGGCTACAGGTGGCATTGGCATTGTTGCTGCATTGGCATTGTTGCTGCATTGGCATCGCTGCTGCTTTGGCATTGTTGCTGCATTGGCATTGTTGCTGCATTGGCATTGTTGCTGCATTGGCATTGTTGCTGCATTGGCATTGCTGCTGCATTGGTATTGTTGCTGCATTGGCATTGCTGCTGCATTGGTATTGTTGCTGCATTGTTGCTGCATTGGCACTCGTGCATCGCCCATGCTCCTGGTGTTGTTCATACACTTGGGCTACGCCCATCCCCAAACCTTTATAAACAATTTGCCTTTAGAGGGCGACTCCTTTGCCTGATGACGACCGCTTGTGTTGCGATCGAAACGTCGCGATTTGTTTTATTTTACAGTGGTACCTCGGAGATCGAACTTAATTCGTTCCAAAACCGAATTGTTTGAACACCGATTCAACTTTCCCCATAAGAATGAATGGAAATAGCATTGATTGGTTCCCCACCCAAGGATGCTCCTATTATGGGCCATTTTTACACAAAGTTTACAATATTAAAATACAGTACAGTACATAAAAGCATACAAAAAACAAGAAACACAGTTATAATTAATAGAATAAATGAACATTGAACTTCACTTTACCTGTAGTAAGGAGAGTGGATGGCTTGAGTGGAAGGTGGTGAGGAGGGGAGGAGGAGGTGTCAGTGTTGCTTGGAAGGGGAGTCCCCCTCCATAAACACGTTGGGTAACTGCCCTTCTGGGGTTCTTTCTTTTCTTTGCCATTTTTCGAGCACTAACTGTGATTCACTTGAGGGCCTTTTTACTAAAAACTGATCGAGAGAGGATTGTTTCTGCCTCCGTTTTAAGATGTTTCTGAAATTACTCACTGCATTATCATTATAAAAATCGCCTGCTCTGCTGGCTACCGCCTTATCTGGATGATATTTTTCTACAAAATTGTGTATCTCAGCCCATTTTGGCACTTTTGAAAAAGGGCTTTCGTGTAGAATTTTTTTAAAGTTGGAAATTACCTGTTGGTCCATGGGCTGCATGAGAGGAGTCGTTTGGGGGGGGCAGGAACTTTACAGTGATAAAGGACGAGAGAGCTACGCGTAAACTGGGTCATTCGCCTTTGTCTCGGTCGCCCTGGATACGCGTCTGGGCCCAAACAGGTTTTTCCAGTTGTCCGACCTCAGAAATTTTGTCCGATGTCCGGGGGCAAAAAATGGTCAATTTTTCTAGATTTGAAGCTTTCGTGACTGCAAGGATCCATCATACTCTTTGGGTCTATTCGGTAAAGTCACGTAGGTAAAAAATAAAACAACAAAAAATCACGACGTTTCGGCCACAACACAAGTGGCCTTCATCAGGTGAAGGGACCAAACTGTCCAGAGGACAGCGCTGGAGTGAAGAAAGCCAAGCTCAGGTCGCCTCCTTTAAGCTGTGAGGGGGCAAATAAAGAATTAAAGCTTTTGTGATTGCATACATTACTCGTTGGTTTTTTCGGTAATGTCACGTATGTAGGAATACCATAACATTATATTAAAACAAATCAATCACGACGTTTCGACCGCAACACAAGCGATCTTCATCAGGCGTAAGAAACAAATCACGGAGGTAAATACAGCAAGAAGATGAGAGACGAGAATTCAAAACACCTCAGGAAAAAATATGTGCACAACCAGTCAGGTCAACAGCACAGTTAGACACTTACCTGAGTAATGTATGCAGTCACGAAAGCTTTGATTCTTTATTTTAACACACTTCTACGGGGAAGTTACCTTTGCAATTCTGTCCTAAACGTGGTGTGCCCCTTACTTGCTCCTGCCCCCCCCCCGCCTCTGCTGCTTTGCAGCAGCCCGTGCTTCCTCCTGCTCCTCCCCCCGCTTCTGCGGCTGTGCCCTTTCTCTCTGGCCCCTCCCCCCACCTTCACTTATTTTAGGCTTCCGTTTCATCCGACCTTACTTCTCTGTCCGTCCTTGCCTCTTGGTGTCTCTGTATATGTATTTCTGACTTGTACCTCGTATTTGTTCACTCTGTCTATGCTGGTATGTTCAATCCAGAGGTTGAACACGAAATTTAACACTCTTCTGAAATTCGTGGTCCGCCAGATAAGTGTCTAACCGTGTTGTTGACCTGACTGGTTGTGCATCACATATTTTTTCCTTAGGTGTGTTGAATTCTCGTCTCTCATCTTCTTGTTGTATTTACCTCCGTGATTTGTTTCTTACGCCTGATGAAGATCGCTTGTGTTGCTGTCGAAACGGCGTGATTGATTTGTTTTAATATAATGTTATGGTATTCCTACATACGTGACTTTACCGAAAAAACCAATGAGCTGTGAGGGGGTAAACAGAAAACGCCTTGGCAAAGGAATTAGCATAAAATGTGCCACTGTGAGAGCTTGGAATTAGCATAAAATGCTGTACTACCATGAGAGTTTGGGATGCCACTACTTGAATAAATATACTGTACCATTGAAAATTAGTTTAATGTTTGGTTCGATTTAGAACATCTTTCCAATGATTGCTTAATTTGAAACCATCCTCTCGGTTGAAATTGTGTCTGTGTTTGTAAATCTGAATTGCCTCGTGAACAAATCTCTGATGAAAACCCGTGGGTTTACAGAGCACCTTGGTATCGGAGAAAACTATATCGTGATCACCCACAGCGTTGTAACATTGATCAGCTACGGCAGAAGAATTCGTTCTGCCGTGTTTCAAATCTGATTTGTGCTCGCGAATTCGGTGATCGAACAAAGGCTATATGGCGGATCCTTGTCTTTGTTCCGAATCACTATATTACACCGTTTATTTATGTAGGAAATGCCTCGCTGATAGTCGAGACTTTATTTCGCGGAAGTGTGCGCCTAAGTTTATTTTTCCGCTCGGAGCTCCCAACAGAGATGAGCCTCTCCGCATTGCTCGTATGAACCGGGAGACACTTTGCCTTTCGGCACGTAATCACGTGACACGTTTCACGTTCCGTTTGATCACTCGTTGTGATCACTGTAATTGGTACGTGTTGGTGATTGACCGGCGCGTGTGTTTGTCTTTTAGTTTCTTCCTGGGACACATCTGGAGGGCGTGGGACGAAGAAGATGATGACGATTACGATTACTTTGTGAGATGCGTCGATCCAAGACTCAAACTGTAAGGACGAATATTTTTGCGTTGAACTAACGTGACGTGCTGATGGTGATGATGATGAAGTAGCTGTAGGTACTATGACATATTGATGATGATGATGACGTGGCTATGGGTACTTAGACGTGCTGATGATGACGACGTGGTTGTAGGTACTATGACATGCTGATGAAGTTGACATGGCTGTAGGTACTATGATGTGCTGATGATGATGTGGATGTAGGTACTATGGCGTGCTGATGAGGATGATGATGGTGGCGTGACTGTAGGTACTATGACATGCTGATGATGTTGACATGGCTGTAGGTACTATGACGTGCTGATGATGACGTGGCTGTAGGTACTATGGCGTGTTAATGAGGATGATGATGGTGGCGTGGTTGTAGGTACTATGACATGCTGATGAAGTGACATTGCTGTAGGTACTATGGCGTGCTGATGATGACGTGGCTGTAGGTACTATGGCGTGGCAATGAGGATGATGATGGTGGCGTGGTTGTAGGTACTACGACATGCTGATGAAGTTGACATTGCTGTAGGTACTATGACTTGCTGATGATGACGGCTGTAGGTACTATGGCGTGCTGATGAGGATGATGATGGTGGCGTGACTGTAGGTACTATAATGTGCTGATGATAATAATATGGCTGTAGGTACTATGATGTGCTGATGATGATGATGATGATGACGTGTCTCTAGGTACTTCGACGTGCTGACGACGACGATGATGTTGACAATGACATGGCTGTAGGTACTATGGCGTGGTGATGAGGATGATGATGATGATGACGACGACAACGACGTGGTGGCTGCAGGTATTACGACGTGTTGGAGGGGCGCATCCCGGCGGGGCTGGTGAGCGAGTACGCCCGCCTGCGCTCACACTTCGACGCCACCTACGCCGAGTTCAGCCGCCTGCGCGGCTCCATCACGGAGGGGTCCGACGCCGAGGAGATGGAGCAGGATGGAGCCAAGGTGGCCCGCGGCGTGGAGCTCTACGAGAGTCTGGAGACCGCCAAGCGCAAGCTCCAGATCATGGAGAATCCCGTGCTTCGGTGAGAAGGGCTACAACTTCTTCCTGCTATTTGTATTCATAATAAAGGTTTTTGGGTTCGATCGCGTTATTTATAAACGTGTTGTAACCCTCCACCACCCGGGTTACGACACGTTTATAAATAACGCGATCTAACCCAAACACCTTTATTATGAATAATATTGGTCACGAAAGCCTACGTGTTAAACTGCTATTTGTATATATATAGAAAAGGGAAATTTGTGAATGTGTGCGTTCGAAATGTTTAGCATACTTCCCAACATGCAACAAACGTGAAATTTGGCATGTGGGTAGCTTCCAGACTGTACACAATGAAAAAAGTATAAAAATATACTTTTGTGTTTTGGGGGGGGGGGCGCAATAATGCATGTATATATTTTGCACGGCAAGTGAGCGGTGACGTCACATCTGTGATGTCATCCGCATGCGGAAGCGTCACGCAGCGTGCCTGCTGACGTCACGCATCCCCCCCCCCCACCCTCCGCGTAGGCCGCGTATTAATCCAAGATAAGAATCCAAGTCTCGGGGCGAAGCCTGGTAGTAAACCCAGTTTCATAGATATGCAGACAGTCCCAGGGTTGCGGAAGAACCCGGCCGTACGGAAATCCGACCTGACGGAAATGCCCCTACGAATCGTGTTTAAGCATTTTGTTTTTTAAAAATACGCCAATGTGTTTGCGTTTAGTTACGTAAGCGCAGGTAGTGAAGTGCGGTGAGGTTGCGGATTAATACCGCGGAGCGAGGCGTAAGTCGGCGCAGGATCTTGCCCGAGGCGGTGGTGTACAGCCGCCCCGCACTCGGTCGCGCTGTTACATTGTTACCGTGCGTATAGCCGCCACGTCGTCTCGTGACTTGCAGTGCAATGTCACCCTTAATTGTATTGTAATGATGACTGGAAAGCGACCAAGTGGTGGGAATTTATCGTTGATTTTGGGGGAAGATTGTTAAATTTCCGAGATATGGAAAATTCGGGTTACGGATCGTTACGTAACCCGGGGGACTCTTTGTGTATATATATATATTTTTATCAGGTATGGCCCAACTGAGCTACGTCGAGAACGTGGGACAGCAGTATGAGTGTCGTTTGCAGGAGTGACCTGGGGCGTTAGTTTTCCAGTAGGGGGCGATGATCGCTGTTTATTTGTGTGTGTGTGAGCGGTAGTGTTGTGGTTAGCGCGCTGCGCTACGAACCCGGCGACCCGAGTTCGATTTCCTCTCATGGCCAACACCACTGACGATTATCTGATCTGGTCGTGGGCCTCCCCTAGGTCGACTCGGCCTCAAATGAGTACCTAGTGCAGTGTATAAACATTGCCGCTGGGGAGACAAAGGCGGCCGGGGGTGGTGTTGGCCACCCACCCCCTCGTGTGCCATAGCGGCCTTCATAGGCGCTGCTCGTTAACAGCACTTGCCCCAACAGTCTGTTAAGGCTGTACTGAAGCTCTTTATCCCAATTGAGTAATTAGCAGTGCAACATTCACGGTGGTGGGATGTTAACTACCTCGCCTGGTAAGCAGGAGGTCGGGGGTTTGATCCCGACCGTGACGCCTGCTGTATATTTGGAGTCTGCGTGTTCTCCTCGTGGTCGCGTGGATTTTTAGATTATTTGGCTACTATAAATTTCCACGTGATAAGCCACTTCGTTGAGCTATCATTTGTGGCCAGGTAGCTTCTGAAAAATAACCTAATAGCTCAGTGGGCTTTACCTGGTAACGTGAAAATAGATGTATTCATATTTTTCGTGATTTGTTCACTTTTCTTGTACTTTGTATTACTATTGTTTGTTGTTGTAAAATTCTGACCTGCCCCTACTCGACATCTGTGAAAAATAGCTTTACAGCTCATCGGATTCCTCCAGTATAAATACATATTATTAATATGATAATGTCGCAAATTCGAATATTGTTGATGCCTATATCGTGGTTCTGCCTTTTGGAAGTTTGCTTTGCCGAAAATATAATAAATGTATATCTTGTCAGTCAGCGTTAGTAAGGGGCGCGGTCTCAGAACGTTACCAACACCAATACGAAAAACACGACCGAAGCGAAAAATTATGGGCAAGGCAAAGAAATCGCGTATACATATATATAAAAAAAAATACCAACAAAACGAAACTCTTTTTTGTTATCTTGTCCTTGCCGCTGCTGTCGCCGCCCGCCCCCTGTTCAGCTTCGTGCTGGGATACCAGGCGAGTGCGGGGGGAGTGGCGCGAGTGGCGCGCGGTCCCCGGCCCGACGGCGCCGCGGCGGCGCACGTGGTGGCGCGCTCCGTGTCGCTCGCCACACTCGGCGCGCTCACCCGCTCGCTCGCCGAGTCGCTTGGCGCCGGCACCGGCGGAGACGACGACCGGATGATACACGTGAGGGTTGGGCTGGGGGCGGGGGTGGGGGGGTGGGGGGAGAGCGGTGTTGACGTGGCCCCCCCCCCCCCACGGTTCAGATCCGGCAGGCCTCCCTGGTGAATGCCGCGGTGTGTATTTTGACCGTGGAACTTACGCGCCGCCTGCTGCACAGTGGACATTAACGAACAGGTGACGTCATTCGAATAGAGTAGGGGTCGACAATAATGATTGGCAAATTTGAGCTCGATAGCTCTTCTAGATTTGAAGCTTTCGTGACTACAAGGATCCATACTCTTTGGTTCTATTCGGTAAAGTCACGTTAGCTCTTTTTTCAGAAGTGACCCAGCCCACAAGTCACAGCTCATGTGGAAATGTATCGCAGCCAAATACTCTAAAAAGCGCGACGTTGATTCTGAGTGTGGAGGGAAAAACCGTGGGGGCCGGAAAAAAAGTCCACATGAGCGCGGGGAGAGAGACACCGCAAACTCCAAAATATATAGGCGTTGGGGTTGGGATGGAACCCACGAACTCGTGTATACCGGGTGAGGTAGTTAACATCTCACTACCGTAGCGTGTAGCAAAGTTACCCCCCTACATAAATATTATATACACTACATTATACACTACATACAACTATCTACAAACCAACCAGTCTGGCAGTCGGCACCACGTGCGTAACAACAAAAGCATATACGCTTGAATTCAGTGTTAAATATTATATACACTACATTATACGCTACATAAATATTATATACACTACATTATACACTACATACATATTATATGCACTACATTATACACTGCATAAATATTATATACACTACATTGTACACTACATCAGGGGTGGGGAACCTTTTTTCTGCCAAGGGCCATTTGGATATTGATAACATCATTCGCGGGCCATGCAAAATCATCAACTTAAAAATTAGCCTGTTATATTTGGTCAAACATTTAATTAACTCGCCCCTAATGTGATGGCTGGAACTGCTTCTCTTTGGCGAGGCGTATGCTGTTAGCTGGTATTGATGATGTTGCTGCTACTCGCAACTGCTTTTCCAGGTTTGCTCCTGGATTAATTGAATTTCGAGTCCCGCCTGCGGTTGCCTTGGCAGGGCTAGACTAAACGTCGAGCCCGGGGGCCGTATGAGGCCCGCGGGCTGGACGTTCCCCAGCTCTGCACTACATAAATATTATATACACTACATTATACACTACATACATATTATATACACTACATTATACACTACATAAATATTATATACACTACATTATACACTACATACATATTATATACACTGCATTATACACTACATACATATTATATACACTGCATTATACACTACATACATATTATATACACTGCATTATACACTACATACATATTATATACACTGCATTAATATTATACACTACATTATACACTACATACAACTTACTACAAACCAGTCCAGCGATCGCCACCACGTGTTTGATGATAAAAGCAGCTACGCTTGAATTCAGTGGTAAATATTAGATATACACTACGTTATACACTACATACAACTTAAGCAATGAAAATACTGCACGTGTGTACATCTTTCATAACTAACAACTACGGTAACAAAGGCATAAAATATAGACGGTGCGATCCGGCGAAAAGTTGCGTTGTGTAATTCGGCGTACCGGTCTAATGGCCGCATCAGTCCGGCGAACGTCAGACACATGGTGGTGTTGAAACAAGAGCGTAGTAGTGCTACGTACATCGCCCCACGCCGAGTCTTCCACATTGGAGTGGTAAGCACGGCACAAGCAATATAGTAACTTTTTACAGGTGCATATTTATGCTCGTCTATCTGTACGTTTGTTCATGTCAATTTTATACAGTAAACAAATTTAAAACGCCAACCGCCCCCCCCTCACCAAAAAATACACCCAACACCTAAAAATGTAACGTCATGCAAGAATGTCCAAAAATAAGCTGTTTAAAATAATTACGGCGAGTGATTATCCGGCTTTTTAAAAAATCCGGAGCTCTCCTCCCCCTTCCGTAGTCGCCGGATAATCGAAGATCGGCTGTTCCTGGAGAACCGCTCTTAACGACAGTAATTGTTTCCACGAAACCGGTCATTAAGCGAGTATAGGAAATGCACGTTAAAGGCTTAATTCGTTCCGATAGCATCGAACGTTACCCTGGGCTCTGGAGGCCCGTCGTTAAGCGATCGGTCGTTAAAAGGAGTGGTCTTTAAGAGGGGTTCTACTGTAATTCTCTGTTCCCCTGCCCCACCCCTGCTGGGCGCGCATGCAGTTCCACAGCAGCCTGCAGGGAGCGCTGGACGCGTGCTACGAGGGGGACCGCATCGTCCTGTGCCCCGGCGTCTACTCCGAGGAAGGCTTCTGCAGCATCGCGGAGTCGGTCAGCATCGAGGGTGGGTGGCCTGAGCCGGCGTTCCCCCCGCACGGCCGCCCCCCCCCCCCCGGCACGGCACCCCCCCTTGTGTGTGGGCGTGCCGGAAGTCGTAAAGTGCCGCTGAGCCGGCTACGGGGGGGGTGGAAGCGCGGGGGGGGGGGTCGGCAACCTGCGGCTCCGGAGCCTCATGCGGGGGGGGGGGGGGGGGGGGCCTCTTTTTAAGGACCGCTTCGTTGATGTTATTTACGAAGGGGTCACCGTCTCGTGTTCACGTGGGTTCGCGGCTCTTGAAATGTTGAGCTGTTTGGTTTTTTTTTTGTTTAAACTAATTCGAGAAAAACGGCTGCCCTTGTTATTTTGGCTGCTGACCTAGGGCAATGTTCGGGCGCCACGGTGGCTTGGAAATGTTAACTACCTCGCCTGGTATACAGGAGGTCGTGTGTTCGATCCCGACCCTGACACCTGTTGTCTATTTGGAGTTTGCGTGTTCTCTCTCCCCTCGGTCGCTTGGACTTTTCTCGGGGTCCTCCAGTTTTTCCCTCCACAATTAGAAACATTCGTTTAGAGTATTTGGCTGCTCTAAATTTCCGCGTGATGATGATGATGAGCCGCTTCGTTGAGCCATCAGTTGTGATGGCCAAGGTCGCTTCTGACAATAGAGCAGCACAGCTCAGTGGGGGGTGGGGGGGGGCGTGGGGGGGCGTCTTACCTGGTAAAATAAAAAAATAGTAATATTTAAAAATACTTTTTTTTAAAAACACGCTTCAATGAAATGTACCCTACTAGTTAATGGCAGAACTCCACGACTCCAGGAAGTGGCCCCGAAGCTTGCCACAACGTAAGGGACCCGTGGTGATTTACAGCCAACGTTAGTTGAGCGTGGACAATTAAACCCAAGCCGAAACATAAGATATAAAAAAGATTGCTTAAAAATATTTATATTTTTTTGTTTTTAATGATAGAATATTGTATTGTCATCAGTATGACATACGTATACCAAGTTTGCAGTCGATACCACATTGGGAAGTGGGTTAAAATTGAGTTACAAGATTTGAGGGTACAACAACAGACAGAGTTGAGGATACAACAGAGTGAGTTAAATAAAAGCGTGTAAAATAGTTCGGTTTAGTTTTAGTTCTAGAGCTACCGTTGTCGACGGCCCTATCACCAGCAACGCGTTGACCCTGAGCGACCGTGTGCAACTTGGTGGAAAGAGGAATGGAGATTGAGGGTCACATGGGTTACTCAGGAGTTGATTGCTCGCTTCGTTGCTGTACTTTGATTAACTTTTCTTGCTTTCGTAATGTTGGCCACCGAGGTCACCTATTACGAACGAGACTGCCGTATCCTGGTCTCTCCCGAGTTCTCACCTGGTTAAAACGCAAAATCAACTCGAAACTTGAGTCGAATTAGGCCAGAAAAGCAATCGTTGGCAGTTTTCTCTCTCGTCCGTCCACGTCCTCGCACGCGCGCTGCCTCGAATCTACCTGCGTTTGTCAACGCGACGAGAGCGTGACGGTCGGGCGGTCCGATTGCAAGTTGCCATTCCTGTTGCCCACTACAGAATCAGAATATTTGTTTATACTGGAGGAATCCGATGAGCTATTCAAGCTCTTTTTTCACAGATGTCAAGTAGGGGCACGGGGTCAGAACGTTACAACAACAAATAGTACAAAAACACGATCGGAGTGCAAAGTATAGGGAAGGTAAATAAATCACTTAGAATACGCAAATACAACTGAACAATTTTTTTTATCTTACCAGGTAAAGCCCACTGAGCTCTTAGCTTCTTTTTCAGAAGCAACCTGGCCACAAATGATAGCTCAACGAAGTGGCTTATCACGTGGGAATTTATAGCAGCAAAATAATCTAGATGTGCGATGTTGATTCTAAATGTGGAGTGAAAAACCGGAGGACCTGGTGAAAAAAATCCACGCGACCACGGGGAGAGACACACGCAAACTCAAACGCCACGGGCAGCTGCCACAAGATTTTGAGCAGCCACTGTTTCGCCGCAGCAAATGCTGCGGCGATCACTATCAGTGACCTTTTCCCCAGTGGGTGATGGCCGGAGTGCTGGTAGCCTGGAGTCGGAGGCATGTTACCGGTAGCCACAGCGAGAGGTCTACTGGATGTGGCGCACCTGGTGCATCCGTATTTTGTGAGCCGCCTTCCCGGACAGACCCGGTTATAACAGTAGGCCGTGCTCACGGAGCTTGCCCACACATCCGGTGTGCAGCTGAGATTGAAGGTCACATGGCTTCCTCAATGTAGAAATGAGATGGGAGGCCACGGGGCATCCTCAATGTAGAGATGAGATGGGAGGCCACGGGGCTTCCTCAATGTAGAGATGGGTTGGGAGGTCACATGGCTTCCTCACTGTAGAGATGAGATTGAAGGCCACATGGCTTCCTCAATGTAGAGATGGGATGGGAGGCCACGGGGCATCCTCAATGTAGAGATGAGATGGGAGGCCACGGGGCTTGCTCAATGTAGAGATGAGATGGGAGGCCACGGGGCTTCCTCAATGTAGAGATGGGATGGGAGGCCACGGGGCATCCTCAATATAGACATGAGATGGGAGGCCACGGGGCTTCCTCAATGTAGAGATGGGATGGGAGGCCACGAGGCTTCCTCAATGCAGAGATGGGATGGGAGGCCACGGTGCTTGCTCAATGTAGAGATGGGATGGGAGGCCACGGGGCTTCCTCAATGTAGAGATGGGATGGGAGGCCACTGGGCCCCCGGGCGGAGCGTCGGTCATCGCTGGCTGGAAGCCGGTTGGGGGACCCCTTGCTGCAGCGTCTCTCCTCTCTCAGGGTTCGGCGTCGCCGACGACGTGGTGATCGAGATGAGCGGGCGCGGCGACGTGTTCGTGGAGTGCAGCGCGCGGCACGTGACGATCTCCAACGTCAAGTTCATCCAGCACGGCGCCACCGAGGGCATCCTGCGTGAGTGGGCGACACCCTCCGCTCATCATCGGCATCATCAGAGTAGCAGCAGCTGCAGCTGAATTGGCAGCAGCAGCAGCTGCAGCTGAATCGGCAGCAGCAGCAACATTATCAGCAGCAAGTGATATCGTCATCAGCATCGTCATCAGCAGGAACACCAGCAGCATCAACAGCATTATCAGTAGCAGTAATATCAGCTGCAGTAGCAACATCATCAGCTGCAGCAGAATCATCATCATCAGTCGCAACAGTAGAAATATCGGCAGCAAGAGCAGTAGCAGAACTAATATTATCAACAGCAACAGTTGTGGCATAGCAGTGGCAGCTGCTAAATAATCATTATTTCTCACCTCCGATCAGCACGGCTGGCTACATACGGTGCGAAAGAAGTTCAACATTCATTAGTTCGCAGCAGTAGCATGGTTATCACTACGAGCAGTTGCTGTCATTAGCAGCAGCGGCGGCGGCGGCGAAGCGCACGTGCCACCATGTGACCGTCCCGCCCCTAGGTGTGCTCCGTGGAGAGACGGAGCTGCACGAATGCGTGCTGCAGTGCGAGACCTCCGGGGTCACGGTGAGGCCCAAAGCCCACCTGACCTTAAAGAACTGTGACCTCTACGGGGCAAAGGTGAGCATTCATGCCGCAGCTTTCTTTCTTGATTTGAAGCTTTTGTGGCTGCAGGAATCCATTCTCTTTGGTTCTTTCGGTAAAGTCACAACCTTTCTGTTCCAGTTCGGTCAAGGGGTCGTTGCGGCCGCCCAATACTGCTGATCACAATCGGAATAATTTATCCTGGAGAAATCCGATGGGCTTACGAAGCTCCCATGGACATGGTGAACTGGACTCCCATGGTATATCGGACTCCCATGGTAAATTGGACTTCCATGGTAAACCGGACTTGCACGGTAAAGCGGACTCCCATGGTAAACTGGACTCCCATGGTAACCTGGACTCCCATGGTAAAATGGACTTCCATGGTTCAACTGGACTCCCATGGTAAATTGGACTTTCATGGTGAACTGGACACCCACGGTAAACTGGACTCCCATGGTAAACTGGACACCCACGGTGAACTGGACACCCACGGTGAACTGGACTCCCATGGTAAACTGGACACCCACGGTAAACTGGCCTCCCACGGTGAACTGGACTCCCACGGTAAACTGGACACCCACGGTAAACTGGACTCCCATGGTAAACTGGACACCCACGGTGAACTGGACACCCATGGTGAACTGGACTCCCATGGCAAACTGGACACCCACGGTAAACTGGCCTCCCACGGTGAACTGGACACCCATGGTAAACTGGACACCCACGGTGAACTGGACACCCATGGTAAACTGGACACCCATGGTAAACTGGACTCCCACGGTAAACTGGCCTCCCACGGTGAACTGGACACCCATGGTGAACTGGACACCCACGGTGAACTGGACACCCATGGTAAACTGGACACCCACGGTAAACTGGACACCCACGGACAGGGCTCGGCAACCATAATCCCAACCTGAACATCGCGAGAGCCGCAACGCGGTCCTTAACGAGGCCCCGGAGCGCCACGCCGCTCCAGGGCCGCAGGCGTGCCGACCCCTGCCCCTGGGGCCTCCTGCGCTTGCCCTGCGCACGGTGCGCGCAGGGCAAGCTCAGGTTACGGCCCTCTAGGCCGCGGCGCACGCGGGGAGGGGATGGCGTGCCCGGGCCTCTCGTCAACGCGGCGTTAGGAGGGCAGCGGTTCCACCTGCGCTGTCGTAAACCGGTCCCGTGGATCGGTGCCGCTGAAATGATGACACCTCCATGAGGCCGTGTGGCCGGTGTGTTTTGTAATACCTTTATTTATTGCGTGATGAGATGGATTCGTGAAAGAGACCTTGTCCTACTGATTTAGTTTTTGTCTGGGGGTGTGTGTGTGTATGAGGAGTGATAGTGCAGCGGTTAGCGCGAGTTCGATTCCTGCTCTCGGCCCACACCGGTGACGATTATTGAATTGGTCCTGGGCCTCCCCTCGGTCGACTCGGCCTCAAACGAGTACCCGGTGCGGTGTGTAAACATCCCCACGAGGGAGACAAAGGCGGCCGGGCGCGGTGCTGACCACCAATCCCCTCGTGTGCCATTCCAGCCTTCATAGGTGCTACTCGCTAACGGCACTTGCCCCAACAGCATGTTAAGGCTATACGGGTGATCTTTGTCTTTGTGTGTGTGCAGGGAGCGGGAGTGGAGGTGTACCCAGGCAGCACCTGCACCCTCATTGGCAATGGAATTCACCACTGCCGCGAGGGTGTGCTGATCATGGTGAGACTCCGGATCAGGGCTAGTGTATGAGCTGGTGTTAGTGTCAGGGTTAGTGTTAGTGTCGGGGTTAGTGTTAGAGTCGGGGTGAGTGTTAGAGTCAGGGTTAGTGTTAGAGTCAAGGTTAGTGTTAGTGTCAGGGTTAGTGTTAGAGTCAGTGTTAGAGTCAGGGTTAGTGTTAGTGTCAGTGTTAGTGTCAGGGTTAGTGTTAGTGTCAGGGTTAGTGTTAGAGTCAGGGTTAGTGTTAGAGTCAGGGCTAGTGTTAGTGTCAAGGTAAGTGTTAGAGTCAGGGCTAGTGTTAGTGTCAGGGTTAGTGTTAGAGTCAGTGTTAGTGTTAGTTAGTGTTAGTGTCAGAGTCAGGGTTAGTGTCAGGGTTAGTGTCAGGGTTAGTGTTAGAGTCAGGGTTAGTGTTAGTGTCAAGGTTAGTGTTAGTGTCAGGGTTAGTGTTAGTGTCAGGGTTAGTGGTAGAGTCAGGGTTAGTGTTAGAGTCAGGGTTAAGTGTTAGAGTCAGGGTTAGTGTTAGAGTCAGGGTTAGTGTTAGTGTCAGGGTTAGTGTTAGAGTCAGGGTTAGTGTTAGTGTCAGGGTTAGTGTTAGAGTCAGGGTTAGTGTTAGTGTCAGGGTTAGTGTTAGTGTCAGGGTTGGTGTTAGTGTCAGGGCTGGTGTTAGAGTCAGGGTTGGTGTTAGTGTCAGGGTTAGTGTCAGGGTTAGTGTTAGTGTCAGGGTTAGTGTTAGAGTCAGGGTTAGTGTTAGAGTCAGGGTTAGAGTTAGTGTCAGGGTTAGTGTCAAGGTTAGTGTTAGTGTCAGGGTTAGTGTTAGTGTCAGGGTTAGTGGTAGAGTCAGTGTCGGTGTTAGTGTCAGGGCCGGTGTTAGAGTCAGGGTTAGTGTTAGAGTCAGGGATTAGAGTCAGTGTTAGTGTTAGTCAGGGCCGGTGTTAGAGTCAGGGTTAGTGTCAGTGTTAGTGTTAGAGTCAGGGCCTGGTGTTAGAGTCAGGGTTAGTGTAGTGTCAAGGTTAGTGTTAGAGTCAGGGTTGGTGTTAGAATCAAGGTTGGTGTTAGTGTCAGGGTTAGAGTCAGGGCTGGTGTTAGAGTCAGGGCTGGTGTATGAGCTAGTGTGTTGTTCGGGGCTACTGTTATAAGTAGGTTCGCATGTTCGCTAGTGTTATAGCTCTGTGTTCATGGTGATCATACCGCTAGTGTTATGGCTCTGTGTTCATGGTGATCATACCGCTAATGTTATGGCTCTGTGTTCATGGTGATCATACCGCTAATGTTATGGCTCGGTCTTTCATAAACGACGTCACAAAGCGGTCATTTAAAGAGCCGCGTGCGGTCCTCCGGAACTGCAGGTTTGCCGACCCCCCTGGGCTCATTCAAGGGCTTGTGTCTGGACTGGTGTTTAGTTTCACTATAAGGTAATTGTTAGTGTTACTGTTAATGCTAAGTGTCGGTGTATCGCGAGTGTTAATGGTAGCGTATGGGGCTCGTGTGTTAGCGTTACCGGTTTAAGCATTAGCCAAATGTCAAGGTCTTAATTTAGAGACACATCTTACCTATTCCACCAGGTGGCGCTATCTGCCTTTCTAAATTCTTAGCCATTGTTTTTAATAATTTGTACGTGCTACATATATATATTCCACTGCTAATAACTGCAGAGATAGTATAATCACCTCGTCCTGGAGACTCTGCTCCAGGAGACTGAGTCTCCGGGTCGGAGTCTTGAGACTCTTCTCTGGGAGATGGGGTCCCAGGTTCGGAATCTTGAGACTCTGCTCCAGTCGATTGGGTTTCAGGAATAGCGTCTTTAGCCTCGGCTCGAAGAGACCATGATCCCAGGTTTTCACCTTGCCCCCTTCTCTGCCACAGGACTTCATGGAGTCTCTCTATGACATGCCCAAGCTGTCCATGAGGAACAACCTCATCAGCAAAAACGACGGCCATGGCGTCAGCCTCGTGAAACCAGAAGTCTTGAAGCCCGGGTGCCACGTGGAGAAGCACGGCCAAATTTTGCTCAACAACGCATCCGGTAGGTTCGGCGTTTCTTTATAAAACGTTTTTTTATTAATCCCATCTACCCCCGGCTATGCCGTGATGTAGTCGGAGTGATTGACCCACGGGCGAAGGGGTTAAGAGTTCAAATCCTGGACGGCGTTCGATATTTCCCCAACATCGTTATCGTCGTCATCAATATCAGCAGCAGCAGTCGTATGAAGGAAATTGTTGTAAACGACGCGTGTAACCAAATCTTATACTGCTCCTCGAAGAGGGACTTGGGTCGTCTTCGTGAAGTCACCCCCCACCCCTGCTGCCCCAACTGACTTAGTGCCCACCTGCTACCCCCCCCACCACTGGGTCACGTGCACCCCCCTCCTCTCCACCCCTCTTACATAACATCCCACCACCACCGTCACCACTAAAGCCAGGCCGACTCCATGTCCGGAGGAAGTGGCTGGGCCTAAACAAAGATAGGCGGGTGCTGAAGAAAAATGGGTGGAGCCTAAACGAAAACAGGCGGGGCCTAAAGGAAAGCAGGCGGGGCCTAAAGAATAGGTGGGATCAAAACAAAAATCAGGCAGGGCCTAAAGAAGAAGGGGCGGGGCCTAACGAAGAAAGGGCAGGGCCTAAAAAGGAAAAGTGCAGAGGCGAAATCAGGAAGGGGGTGGGGTAAGGTGGGGCCTAATTAGGAAGAGGCGGAGCCCACAGAAGTTGACCTCCGTTGATTGAAGATCAAGGAGTATTCACCATCATTACGCGGACTCCGGTCATCCTCGCAGCAGCGGCTTTTGGCTGCTGGCCGTCGAACAAAGACGGTGGTCACCGCATCGTCGCGCGGCGCTTTCAGATGCGCGCTTCTGCGGCCGTCTGGAACGCTCTTCCTTCCAATATCAGGAAGCCACTGGAGCTATGCAATTTTAAGTTATAATCTAGATTGACAAACTCATTTCTTTAGAACTGCTTTTTGTGTTAGGTCTGTTGTCCTTCCCCCCCCCCTCCTCACTACCGATTAGCACGGTTGGCTACGTACGGCGAGAAAGAAGTTCAACATGCATGTGTACGTGATGGTGGTGGTAATGCTGATGTCGATGGTGTTGATGTTAAGGAGGTACGGGCATGATGAGGGAGTGGGGGATGCTGGTGATGTTGATGATGTTGGTGATGGGGCCGTCTGGAACGCTCTTCCCTCCGATATTAGGTAGCCTCTGAAGCTTTGCACTTTTAAATCGTCATCTAGATTGACGAACACAAGGTACAATACATAACAGGGTAGTAGAAGCGTTGACTCAAATACGGTGCAGCAGGCTGCTCCAGCAGCAGGGGAGCTGCAGTGCCGCAGACGTGCCCACAGGCCAACTGGTCACGTGGAAATGTGCACGATGTCGTCAGATGTGGGGAACCCAGCGCGGCCGAGCCTGGATATTGCTCGGGCAGGTGACCACCGTTGTCATATGCCGGCATTCGGGGGGCTACGCGGCGGGCAGCAGATGGCAGCGGAACGAATCCACTTACCGTAAACCCTGCCTGTGCACTCTCCCATGTGTACGCTCGCAGCTTTCGCCGGCGTGGCGAAGTGTGGTCGTTAAGACCTCCTTGGCTTTGCACAGCGCGGGCATGCCCTCGTTCAAGGAGTGGAAACTCAACGCGTCCGTCATCAACACTTCGCACGTGCGTGTGTGTGCCCTTAAATGGGGGGGGGGGGGAATTATATATGATAGGTGACGTTTCGGGCAACGGTCCTACTTCGTGGCACAGGAAAAAGATACGTTTAGCAGTGGATTGACAAATGGCGATCATCGTCCGGGTCGACGGACGAGCGAGATTCGAACCCGCGACCCCCTCCGGCTTGCGATCCGAACGCCCGCAGCGTGATAATCATCCTCCGTGTGAAGACATTTTTTTTGTGTATATATATAAAAAAAAATTCGACGATAATAGACGTTGCAAGTGGGACGGGGGTGGCTTTATTATTGGACACCACCAGCTGTTATCTAGTTAAGCCATGGCAATATTGATGTAGTCGGAGTAAGAGGGATTATTCTGTTGGAAATTATAATGAATTACACAGCAAGCCTGCCGGCCCGCTTCCACGACTCGGTGATGATCGCGCTCGGACGGTTCCTTCCCTTAATTCGAGTGGGTTTAAAAACGCGTCAAATTGGCGCGCTCTCTCGTTGATTTCTATCGGCGCACGTCTTTGTGTGTCGGGGGGGGGGGGGGGGCGGATCTTGTCAAGGTCAGTCTCGGCCAGTGCCATTCGGTGCCACAACAACCACAGCCCCGCCATCGCTTCCTTCCGTTTTTGCCAGGTCCACCGAGCTGTTGAACAGTTGACACCCGATTTTTTTTTTCCCCCCCCCCCCCGGGGTCTGCCCTTTTGACCTCCGCCACCGCGTTTGTCTCTACGTCTTCTCTTCCCCACTGGTCGCTGACCTCTGGGTGCCACTCCAATGCTCGTCTCGCTGTCCTGCCCTCCTCCACCCCGCGCACCCTGCGTCCCACCTATCCCTGCCGCCTCCTGCACCACTCTCTCTTCCCAACCTCCAACCTGTTTACCCTATCCCTCCTCCACCGCCCTGCATACCGTGCGTCCCACCCATCGCTAGCGCCTCACGATAACGTCTACAGCACCGATCTGCCACGCCCTACGTCCCGACCTCCAACGTTGCGTGCCCCATCCTTCCACGCCCCCGCAGGCGCTTCCCGACCACCGCAACCTCCTCGTGCCACGCTATGCGGCGCCGCGGTGGAAAGATGTTAACTACCTCGTCAGGTGTGCAGGAGGGCGTCGGGGTTCGGTCCCCCATCCCGTCCCTGACGGCTGTGTATTTTTGAGTTTGCATGTTCTCCACGTGGTCGTGTGGATTTCTTTTTCATGGCCCTCTTTATTTTCTTTTCCCTCCACATTTATAAAGGTGCTTTTGAAGTATTTGGCTGCTGTACATGTTCACATGATAAGCCACTTCCGTTGAGACTTAAAAAAAAAACATCTTGTACAATTCTAGATTTGAAGCTTTCGTGACTGCAAGGATCCATACTCTTTGGTTCTTTTCGGTAAAGTCACGTAGGTAAAAAATAAAATAACAAAAATCACGACGTTTCGGCCACAACACAAGTGGCCTTCATCAGGTGAAGGGACCGTGCTGTCATGAGGACTCACTCCAACGCTGTCCTCATGACAGCACGGTCCCTTCACCTGATGAAGGCCACTTGTGTTGTGGCTGAAACGTCGTGATTTTTGGTATTTTATTTTTTACCTACGTGACTTTACCGAATAGAACCAAAGAGTATGGATCTTGTACAATATCTAATATATTTTATGTAATAAAATAAATCTAAGTGAAAGTTACGAATTTGTGAGATTTCCTTAGACTCAGAGGCGAGGGATTCCACAGACTTAACAATCGCCCAAGCTCTGTGATCCTATTTTTGGATGTTTATCCAACCCCCACTGACGTGATTATACATGTGATATACATGTGGGGGGGACACACTGGAGTACCCGCAGTACAACCCACACGTGCGAGTAAAGGTGATGTGACTTCTGTGAGCTTATCGGGTGCGAAGACCAGAGGGGTTAATGTTGTCGCGTAAGTTGCAATGCATCACGTTAATCTGAGAATGTGCACCACCTCTTATTGGTTGGGTTATTTGCATCGAATCAACATATACTGCCTTCTGGCAAGCCAGGGAATATGGTCGTGCGACGATCCACCAACCTTCGCCGCCTCCGCGCTGCAGGATTGCAGAGGCCATGTGCATAGCCACCACCGCCCGGCTGAGGGTTTTGGGCGATTATTCGCGATAACATCACATGGCAGCCCAGCCGCATTTGTTTATGTCACGGGTGACTCTTCCGCGGATGAGAGCGGGAAGGGGTGAAAATGGTAAAATTGGCGGAGGAATTTTATGCGCATCTCGACAGCGAAAAAAAACCGAGATGACGTTTTGCCAGGGATTGCACCGTTTTGCAGATGGAAGCGATGGCGCATTTCGAGCAGTCAAACGCTGTCCTTGGCAGCGTGGGCACAGGGAACGCTCCTGCACGAGATGGAATGACTGCGCGTGAACATGAAGGAAGCGGGACCAATTGTTGGAGCACAATCGGTGAACCTATTTGACTAAATGCCTGCGCGGAAATGAAATTCGTCAATCGTGAAGTGATGCCTAAATCATTCTCCTGTCCGAATGGAGAGACAAAACCGACTAGAAGGACTGCAAGGCCCCATTTGTCCCGCATTGCGCACGTAATTCGTTTTACGGCGATCGTTGGGAAGCAAACTAATGGACAATTCAGAGGCCACCCCGACCACGTGACCAAAGGTGGATTCACAAAAATTGAATTCTCCCATCGACCGCATACGTACAGTCGATCGGATTCCGGGAAAAAAGATTAATGAATATCAAAGATCATTGTGCACGGCTCCGCTAGACTCTGAAATCGCCGTCGCTCCGGGGGCACGGCCCCGCGAGGCGACGGGCGCGGAGCCCGTTGGCAACGGCAGCCTCTTCACCAAGAGGAGCCTCTCACCAGCCACTAGATGAACCCCAACTGAGAGCCTGGGTTTGAGTCCGGGACTTGGCCACCCGTGATGAACCCCAGACAGAGAGCCTGGGTTTGAGTCCGGGTCTCAGCTGCCCGTGATGAACCCCAGACTGAGAGCCTGGGTTTGAGTCCGGGTCTCAGCTGCCCGTGATGAACACAGACTGAGAGCCTGGGTTTGAGTCCGGGTCTTAGCTGGCCGTGATGAACCCCAGACTGAGAGCCCGGGTTTGAGTCCGGGTCTCAGCTGCCCGTGATGAACACAGACTGAGAGCCTGGGTTTGAGTCCGGGTCTCAGCTGCCCGTGATGAACCCCAGACTGAGAGTCTGGGTTTGAGTCCGGGTCTTAGCTGGCCGTGATGAACCCCAGACTGAGAGCCTGGGTTTGAGTCCGGGTCTCAGCCGCCCGTGATGAACCCCAACTGAGAACCTGGGTTTGAGTCCGGGTCTCAGCCGCCCGTGATGAACCCAGATTGACAGCCTGGGTTTGAGTCCGGGTCTCAGCTGCCCATGATGAACCCCAGACTGAGAGCCTGGGTTTGAGTCCGGGTCTCACCTGGCCGTGATGAACACAGACTGAGAGCCTGGGTTTGAGTCCGGGACTTGGCCACCCGTGATGAACCCCAGACTGAGAGCCTGGGTTTGAGTCCGGGTCTCAGCTGGCCGTGATGAACCCCAACTGAGAACCTGGGTTTGAGTCTGGGTCTCAGCTGGCCGTGATGAACCCCAACTGAGAACCTGGGTTTGAATTCGGGTCTCAGCTGCCTGTGATGAACACAGACTGAGAGCCTGGGTTTGAGTCCAGGTCTCAGCTGGCTGTGATGAACCCCAACTGAGAACCTGGGTTTGAGTCTGGGTCTCAGCTGGCCGTGATGAACCCCAACTGAGAACCTGGGTTTGAATTCGGGTCTCAGCTGCCTGTGATGAACACAGACTGAGAGCCTGGGTTTGAGTCCGGGTCTCAGCTGCCCGTGATGAACCCCAGACTGAGAGCCTGGGTTTGAATTCGGGTCTGAGCTGCCCGTGATGAACCCAGACTAAGAGCCTGGGTTTGAGTCCGGGTCTCAGCTGCCCGTGATGAACCCCAGACTGAGAGCCTGGGTTTGAGTCCGGGTCTCAGCTGCCCGTGGTGAACACCAACTGAGAGCCTGGGTTTGAATTCGGGTCTGAGCTGCCCGTGATGAACCCAGACTGTGACCCTATGTTGCGAGTCTCTCAGCCCAGCCACCAGTGATGCACCTTCTAAGCTCTTGCAAACCCGAGGGTTGAAGTGAAACCATCTAGGTACATTAAGCGAACCCTTTGCGAGGATGGAAAAGCTACATTGAGATCGCATGAAGAACGCTCGGGAACAAGTGGCAGAAGGGTGGGAGGCAGGGGTTAAGCTCGTAAGAGTTATGATAAAAATAAGTCGTACATTTGGTGTTGGCATCATTCGCACAGTGTGAAGCTGTCGCGAAGGCGCTACGTTTCACAGACGGGTATAATCGCCGTGGTGCCGCGGTGGCTAGGAGATGTTTACTACCTCGCCGGGTGTGCAGGAGGTCGTGGGTTTTACCCCGATCTCTGACGCCTGCTTGTGTGTTTGGAGTTTTCGTGTCCCCTCTCCCCGTGGTCGTTGTGAATTTTTCTCCGGGTCCTCCCGATTTTTTCCCCCTCCAAAATTAGAATCGACGTCACGCGTTTAGCATATTTGGCTGCTGCTCTACGTGTCCACGTGACAATGATAGGCCACTCCGTTGAGCTACAATTGGTGGTCAGGCCGCGTCTGAAAAAGAGCTACGTGGCTCAGTGGGCCTTGCCTGGTAAAGTTTTTTTAAAGAGTAAATAGCTAGTCTAGCAATCGAGGGCAATGTTGCGTAAGTGGTTTTAACCTTTTGATTTAAAGCTTTCGTGACTGCAGTAATTCATATTCTTAGCTCTTTCGGTTAAGTCACTTTGAAGGGAAACAATAAAATAATAAAATATATATAAAACAATAAAAATTCTCACGACGTTTCGACCATAACACAAACGGTCATCATCAGGTGATGACCGGGAATCGAACCGAGTCCCTTCTCGCCGCGATGCAACGAGCGTGGTCACCGCTCCGCCAGCAACGCGCGCGTGGCAACCCCGGCCACGTACGGGGAATGTGCAGACCCCGGTCGGGATTTGAACTCGGTGGCTCTGCCCAGCCCTTCCCCTCCCCCAACCACGTGCTTGCGAACCTGAGCGAGCAAGCGAGCGCTCTGGAGGGATTGATTCTGTTGATCGGCGAGATCCCGATCAGTGCCGCTTGTAGCATTTTCTCGCGTCGATCCGCGCGTTTCCCCACGGGGTCGGAACCATTGACCCGTGTGCCGAGGTTCATGTCGGCGGGAGTTTATTTTTTTTACAAATTTCTTTAAAGTGAAATTATCTATCGTTGGCTGCAAAGCGGGGCTTTCGATGTATGTTCATCGGTCGGAGTTGACTTGGGACGAATGCGGCGGGTTTATTTACTGCGCCGGCCGGAACGCCTCATTGCCCCCGGAGAAAATGGGTTAAGAAACGACGGCCCCCCCCAACCCCCCCGTGGAGGGAGACGCGACGTCGAGCCCGTAGACCGATCTGTTTGGAAGCCCTTATCTCTGGGCGACATACAGCCCCCGTCTCTCGTCTGGCGCGGCAGCGTGGTGCAATGCAGAACAATTATACAATACGGAAGCCTCGTCTCATCCGACACTTATCGCTCGTGTGCCGAGACACGCGAACCTCGTCTCGTCCCATACAGAACCCAATACAGAACCCTCGTGTCATCCCATACAGAACCCAATACAGAACCCTCATGTCATCCCATACAGAACCCAATACAGAACCCTCGTCTCATCCCATACAGAACCCTCGTCTCATCCCATGCAGAACCCAATACAGAGCCCTCGTCTCATCCCATACAGAACCCTCATGCCATACAGAATCCTCGTCTCATCCCATACAGAACTCTCATCCCACACAGAACCCTCGTCTCATCCCATACAGAACCCAATACAGAACCCTCGACTCATCCCATACAGAACCCAATACAGAACCCTCGACTCATCCCATACAGAACCCAATACAGAACCCTCGACTCATCCCACACACTGCTTACGTAACCAAGGCAAACATTCCCGCAAGTTGAACTCGGATCTTTTTTCAAACACGATTCTTGGGAGCATTTCCTTAAGGTGGGATTTCCGTAAGTCGGGTCTTGCGCAACCCGGGGACTGTCTGCGTGTGTATGCTCGTCACTTCACAACCCCTTCTCTATCTTGCGCTCTCTCTGTTGTTTTGTTGTTGTTGTATTGGTCGTTGCGGTAACTCGCTCGCCCTGTGCCCCCTCACTGGACATCTGTGAAAAAGAGCTTCCACAGCTCATCGGATCTTATCTCCCACACGGATGCCGGGGACAGCAGAGCGTTTTGCTGCACTGCCACCCCTGTTGTGCTTCCCCTGAACCTCCAAGAATCAGGGAGTCGTGCCTACGGTGCGCCAAAATATTCCGAGCGCGCAAAACCCTTTTTTAAAAAGAAATAAACTAACTAGGCCTACATTTGAACTACGATTCCAATGATCGATGTATGTTTTTTTTTTGCACAAAGGTACTCGCCAGTCCGTTGTGGATTATTCTCAAGTTGATTGTAGAGAAGCAACGGGGCCCGTTTAGAGTACAGTATACAGTATAGTACAAGTAACACAGAACAGTATACAGTAGTACAGTTCAGTGGCGCCACACAGTGCCCAGTAGTACAGTGCAGTGTACAGTAATACAGTGCAATGCACGGTAGTAATGCAAAAGCAGTACAGTACAGTGAAACAGTGCGCAGTGCAGTATACAGTAGTACAGTGCAGTATGCAGTGGTACAGTACTCTGTGTACAGGCTGCCGCTAGCACCACCACTCGGCAGATCCCTGAGACTTCCCCAAACAACAACGGATCTTCGATAAGCGCACGGCAAGACGCCGAATGGCTTCACGATGGGGGCGAGATGTTGACTACCTCGCCCGGTACGCAGGAGGCCGTGGGTTCGATCCCGACCCTGACACCTGTTGTATATTCGGAAGTTTGCGCGTGTTCCGTCTCCCTCTCCGTGGTCGTGTGGATTTTTCTCCCCGACCTCCGGTTATTTCCCCTTTCACGTTTAGAATCAACATGCATTCAAGAGTATTTGGCCGCTATACATTTTTACGTGATAAGCCACTTCGTTGGGCTATCATTTGTGATCAGGTCACTTCTGAAAAAGAGCTACGTTGCTCGGAGGGCCTTTACAGTCTATGACAGCTCCCGGTTTATGGAGCATTCTGGATGGCAAAGTGCCGGATAGCGCTTTTGCTTGCTGTGCATTCTGTAAATACGACGATGCGTGAAATAACACGATGATGAAAGTGACGGTGGGCGAGCGGTTGACGATGCGCGAGCGAGCGAGACGAGCGGGCATGGATGCCTCAAAAAAACTGTTAACAAAACTTAATACAAAGATTCCCGATGACTCCGATCGCCCCTTCTCGCCGGACCCTGCGTTTCCCATCCGTTGCAACCGCAGGCAACCTCGGACAGAGCCCGTCGCTTCCGTTTCACGAGGGCGAGGAGGAGGGGGGCGGCGATGCCGGGCGGGCGACGACGACAGACTTGCTGGAGGCCGAGGAGGCGATCGCCGTGGAGCTGATGAACTCGTCGCAGACGAAGAGGGAGTGGAGGGAAAGCATCGCCGCCGCCGCCAACTCTGAGCAGCCGATGGAAACGCAGGTGACTGACGGAAACGGTAGCGGGATGTTATCTCCCTCGCCTGGTGCGCGGGAGGTCATGGGTTCGAGCTTGACCCCGACCGTTGTGTATTCTGTCTCTCTCTTTTCCCCCAGGGTGCTGCTTGCTAACAAGCACTTGCCCCAACAGTCTGTTAAGGCTATACGGGGGATCTTTGTTTTTGGAGAGGTCATGGCGGGGGGCTGGTTTTAGTGGGGGGGGGTCACAGCGATAGACTCGCACATCGCACCGATAAAGTGAAACTTTAGATTCGTAAACCACAGTCGCGTGTTCCTAAGGGTCTCTCTGACCACACACGTTGCATTCACGCAATGGAATAATTCACAACCACCGTTAATCCACTGCTGGATATAAAGGCTTGCCGCCCCATGCCGTGTTGATCACGGCGGCTGTTTGACCATACTTCACCACATGCGCGAGTGTGGGCTTAGCGAAGGCGAGCGGGTGGCCCGGCATCGATTCGGATATTGCTTGATGCTGACCACGAGCCCTGGTAAAGAATCAGACTGGCTCACGGGACCATCCCTTGCCAGTATCACAATCTAAGAATAGGTATCTACCCTTTCTGGCAATAAAACGGCTGTGTTGAGATGCTAAAAGTGGCGTTGCCTTTGCTCTGTGCACCTTTTGGCTTCCTCTGGTCTAACGCCGGTTTGAGACGAGACCCTAAAAGAAAACTCTCCTCTGGTGTGGACCAATCCGTTGCAAAGACGACGCATCATCGTATACTGCCAGAGCGTGTTTTTTTGTCCGTTTGCGTGTTCACCACAAGTACATGCGGTTAATGCAGACACGATTCCTTGCCAAAATGTTTCTGTTTGGTGTTTTAACATCTCAGCACAGCTATTTTACTGCCAGAAAGGGTAAACTGGGATCGCTGGGCCCACAGCGCCGTGCGCTAATCTCCCGCGCCGCCGCTCTCCGCAACGGAAACGCCGTTTTTCTCCAAAGGCGCAGTTGTCGCGTTTGACGCGCTCGCTCGCTGACTCGCTCGCTCGCTGACTCGCTCGCTCGCTGACTCGCTCGCTCGCTGACTCGCTCGCTCGCTCACTGGCTCGCTCGCTCGCGCTTCTGTCTCCTGCCTCCCGACGCCTCTCCCCCTCCCGTCACGTCGGGGTGCGTCTGGCGGGCATCGTCGTCGTCGTCGTCGTCGTCGTCGTCGCAGCAGGCGTGCGGGACAGGCGCGGCGACGGAGACGTCGGGCGACCTTCCCGCCGAGATGTTCATCTCCATCGTGGGCAACTCGTTCCACCAGAACGGAAAGGGCAGTTTCGGAATCCTCTACTACTGACCGACTCCTGCGCAGCACGGGGGGGGGCGGGGGGGGGGGGGCCGTCCGGCGTCATCGCCCCCCACGCCCTGCCCCCATCGGTCGACGCGGCCGCCACCGCCGCAGCACGTCGGAGGGACTCGGAGGATCTCACAACCTCCAGATCGGAGGACCTCACCGTGGCATCATTGATGTTGGTGCCGCGACGACTCGCCCTTCCTTCCCTCCCCCCTGCCAGATCCCGCGGCCGTTGCTCAGGTCGACACCCGACCCTCTTGCAATCTCGCCACCACTACCATCTGACGTTTGGGGGGCTTCTCCTTGATTACACAGTCGGCACGTGCTTCGTGCGCTCCTCCTACAGTCTCCATCATCATCGTCATCGCCTCCGCCACCTTGGTCGCTGGCCGCCTGGGCGCCACTCCGGCGTCCGTCGTGGTCACCTGACCTCCGGCACCCCGCGCACGCGTCCCGCCTCATCAGCATCCACCTCAAATTTCGATTTAAAGCTTTTGTGACTGCAAGGATTCATCTTCTTTGGTTCTTTCGGTAAAGTCACGTAGAATGAGAATAAAATAATAAATTGATAAAATAAAATAACACAATAATATTATTGTATAAAATAACGCAATAATATTATTTTATTTTATCAATTTATTATTTTATTCTCATTCTACGTGACTTTACCAAAAGCACCAAAGAAGAAGCATCCCACCTCCTCTTCCTGGTGGCGTCCACACCGCTCTCGTGCCACGCTCCAGTCTCGACCCACCGAGTCGCTCACCCTGTCCTCCTCCATCCGTCCTTCGCGCGCGTCCCACATCCACACCAACCTCCTCCTCTCCCCGATGCCACCTGCGGCTCTTTCCTGCCGGGCTCTCGTCCCAACCTCCCAAGCCGCCCGCGTGCCCTGTCCTCAAATTATATTTCGGCACTCGCCCTCGCAGGGCAGACGTTTCCCTTCCGGGTGTACGAGCGGTCACGTTTCATCATCCGCATCGCCGTTCCGCGCACCCCGATCGCTCTGCGTTGTTTTCGCTTCGATCGGGTTAATCGCCTTTTTGATGCATACCGTTGCAATGTGTGCACGTGCGCGCAATTATGCCGTGGCTTTTTGAATCCCCGTTGGGAGTGATGCAGCCGCAGCGGCACCGCTGTGCGAGAGTGGAGTTGTGACGAGGTGAGCGGTAGAGAGGCGGAGTGGCGCGGGTGAGGGGGTAGTGGCGAGGTTGAGGGGGTAGTGATGAGGTGAGGGGGTAGTGACGAGTAGAGGCGGAGTGACGAGTAGAGGCGGAGTGACGAGGTGAGGGGCTGTGACGAGGTGAGGGGGAGTGACGAGGTGAGGGGGAGTGACGAGTAGAGGCGGAGTGACGAGGTGAGGGGGTAGTGACGAGTAGAGGCGGAGTGACGAGGTGAGGGAGTAGTGACGAGGTGAGGGATCCTCCCTCGCCTGCCGCTAGAGGCCGCCGCTCCTCCCCTCCCGTTGCACCACACACACGGCGGGTCCACCGCCTGCAGATTTCACGTCGCTGCGATGAACCCATCCTCTCGGTCCTGGGTTCATTGAGGACAGCTCACACCTGGACTCTAACCCAGCCTCTCAGACCTGGGTTCATTGAGGACAGCTCACACCCGGACTCTAACCCAGCCTCTCGGTCCTGGGTTCATTGAGGACAGCTCACACCCGGACTCTAACCCAGCCTCTCAGACCTGGGTTCATTGAGGACAGCTCACACCCGGACTCTAACCCAGCCTCTCGGTCCTGGGTTCATTGACGACAGCTCACACCCGGACTCTAACCCAGCCTCTCACTCCTGGGTTCATTGAGGACAGCTCACACCCGGACTCTAACCCAGCCTCTCGGTCCTGGGTTCATTGAGGACAGCTCACACCTGGACTCTAACCCAGCCTCTCACTTCTGGGTTCATTGAGGACAGCTCACACCTGGACTCTAACCCTGCCTCTCACTCCTGGGTTCATTGAGGACAGCTCACACCCGGACTCTAACCCAGCCTCTCACTCCTGGGTTCATTGAGGACAGCTCACACCCGGACTCTAACCCAGCCTCTCGGTCCTGAGTTCATTGAGGACAGCTCACACCTGGACTCTAACCCAGCCTCTCAGACCTGGGTTCATTGAGGACAGCTCACACCCGGACTCTAACCCAGCCTCTCGGTCCTGGGTTCATTGAGGACAGCTCACACCCGGACTCTAACCCAGCCTCTCAGACCTGGGTTCATTGAGGACAGCTCACACCCGGACTCTAACCCAGCCTCTCGGTCCTGGGTTCATTGACGACAGCTCACACCCGGACTCTAACCCAGCCTCTCACTCCTGGGTTCATTGAGGACAGCTCACACCCGGACTCTAACCCAGCCTCTCGGTCCTGGGTTCATTGAGGACAGCTCACACCTGGACTCTAACCCAGCCTCTCACTTCTGGGTTCATTGAGGACAGCTCACACCTGGACTCTAACCCAGCCTCTCACTCCTGGGTTCATTGAGGACAGCTCACACCCGGACTCTAACCCAGCCTCTCACTCCTGGGTTCATTGAGGACAGCTCACACCCGGACTCTAACCCAGCCTCTCGGTCCTGAGTTCATTGAGGACAGCTCACACCCGGACTCTAACCCAGCCTCCCAGTCCCGGGTTCATTGAGGACAGCTCACACCCGGACTCTAACCCAGCCTCTCGGTCCTGGGTTCATTGAGGACAGCTCACACCCGGACTCTAACCCAGCCTCTCAGACCTGGGTTCATTGAGGACAGCTCACACCCGGACTCTAACCCAGCCTCTCAGACCTGGGTTCATTGAGGACAGCTCACACCCGGACTCTAACCCAGCCTCTCGGTCCTGGGTTCATTGAGGACAGCTCACACCCGGACTCTAACCCAGCCTCTCGATCCTGGGTTCATTGAGGACAGCTCACACCCGGACTCTAACCCAGCCTCTCGGTCCTGGGTTCATTGAGGACAGCTCACACCCGGATTCTAACCCAGCCTCTCGGTCCTGGGTTCATTGAGGACAGCCACACCCCGACTCCAATCCAGCCTCTCAGACCTGGGTTCATTGAGGACAGCTCACACCCGGACTCTAACCCAGCCTCTCAGACCTGGGTTCATTGACGACAGCTCACACCCGGACTCTAACCCAGCCTCCCGGTCCTGGGTTCATTGAGGACAGCTCACACCTGGACTCTAACCCAGCCTCTCAGACCTGGGTTCATTGACGACAGCTCACACCCGGACTCTAACCCAGCCTCCCGGTCCTGGGTTCATTGAGGACAGCTCACACCTGGACTCTAACCCAGCCTCTCAGTCCTGGGTTCATTGATGACAGCTCACACCCGGACTCTAACCCAGCCTCTCACTCCTGGGTTCATTGAGGACAGCTCACACCCGGACTCTAACCCAGCCTCCCGGTCCTGGGTTCATTGATGACAGCTCACACCCGGACTCTAACCCAGCCTCTCACTCCTGGGTTCATTGAGGACAGCTCACACCTGGACTCTAACCCAGCCTCTCGGTCCTGGGTTCATTGAGGACAGCTCACACCTGGACTCTAACCCATCCCCTCGGTCCTGGGTTCATCGTGGCGAAGTGACTCGCTGTGTGTGTGGTGCAATGGGAGCGGTGGAGCGGCTGACGAGGCAGGCCCCCCCCCCCCAGCTGAAGAGGAGGCTCCCCACGGAGCCCCCGACGACGCCGGGGGGCTCCGCCGTGAGGAGGAGCCGCGGGAGGGGCGACTCCTCGCCCGCTCGGCCTCCGCTGGCTCCTCACTGGGAATTTTATCCGATGGCGAAGTGCAAATAAATAACTAATCTATTTAAGAGCTTACGTTTGTTTGCCTTTAAGGTGACTTTTTTGTTTGTTAATTAACGGCAAAGGCGCAGCCCTGCAATTGCTTTGAGAGTAAAACGTTAATGTATATTTCTTGTTCCGCGGATACACCTACCGAAAGCTTTGCGTATATGCGACGCGTGCTGATGTTATCCTCCTGAGGCACGCTGCTGCAGCGACTACACAGGGGACAGCCCCCCGGCAGAATTGCAAGAAGGCAGCCCCTCTCTCCAGGAGACCCCCCCCCACCACCCGGGGCTTGCACGCTCGCGGCGCAACGTGCGCGTCCGCGTGGCGCGCTCCTTCGGCGACGCGCCGTGGCCAACCGCGCACGGAAGCCGCCGTCGTCAGCCTCGAGGGGGGGGGGGTGGGGGCAGGTCGCCGGAAGCCGCCCCTCGCGACGGCCCGATGGATCCGCGCGCTTCGCAGGAAGCCTCGGCAAGAGGCGCGCGGATCCGTCTGGCCCGTCGAAGCTTTGGCCGCGATGCCACGTGCGAGCCCCGCGCGGCGCTAGGAACCGCGACCGTTGGCCGAAGCGTCGTCCGCGACCGCCCCCCGTCGCACCGCTTTGACGTTTTTTTTTTTCGTTTCGAAACGACTCGAACCGACGGTCGAAAGGTCGCGAAACGGGTCCGCCGGTTCAACGTTAGTTAAAATTGCCTTGTCCGGGGGTCAACCGACGCTGCGATGCTGACGTCGGCGTTATTTTTCGCAAGCCGGCGTATTTGTAACGATTTGTAAAGATTTGTAATGATCGCGGCAGGCTCAAGCCGCCGAGTGAGCGCCCGTTTTAGATCACTTTCAAGCGGTCTTCACTCTGAAACGGAATCCGTATTTTGACTGCAGGAGGAATCCGATTATCCGTGAGGCTCTTTTTCACAGATGTGACCACCAGCGGGGCGGGGGTGTTGGCGATGACTTCGTACCGGGCAGTACAACAAATCTTTTTGATAAAAAAATGTGAATTTCAGGGTTTTTATTGGGGGGAACTGATGCCGTTGTGATGGTCGTCACATCGCGGCTCTCGCGTCTTCTTGCGAAACCGTGACCCCGTGGCAAACCTCCCCCCCCCCCCCCCCCCCCCCCGAGTGTTCGTCAGCTCGTGAAGCTCAGTGTGTACAATTTTAAAGCAAAACGTGTAACAATAAATAAACAATTACAAAACAACAAAACCGTAACTGAGAAATGTGTGCGAAGAGATGCGCGGGGCGCTGCGCTCGTCGCAGCTGGGCGTCTCTTGGCGCCTGTGGTGGACATTCCACGTTCCCATGGCAGGGCGGGCGGCGGAGGCTCGGTCTGTCCACGTGACGGCGACCACTCTCGGCCTCCCACGTGTTTTGTCGTCCTCCTTCCCCCACACCTCCGATTGGCTGTGTACGGTGCGAAAGAAGTTCAACGTACATGCAAAGCGGTTACTCGTTTTGATCAAGCCCGGGGGGATGTTGGTGGTGATGATGATGAGCTGAGGCAACCCCCGACTTGGACTTGAAACTTGGGCCTAGAGACACTTGCGAGTGGTGTATTCTAACCCGGCGCATGCACAGGTCACGTTCAACTTCTTTCGCGATGTACAAAAGTAATAAAATAATAAAAAACATTGAAAATAATCAAAGCTCTTATTAAGCTTTTATTATTTTCCATTTTTTTTTCCTACGTGACTTTACCGAAAATAACCAAGAATATGAATTCCTGCAGTCACGAAAGTTTTAAGTCAAAATTTAGACTT